CTTAGTTTTCCCTGCCTCAGAGAAAATGTCCGGGGCAGGCCCAGGGGGGACGATGGGGTTAATGGAGGTGAAGATAGGAAGAAGGTGGAGAGGGGAGTTAATACCAGGAGGGGTGTAGGAAGATACGGAGTAAACAAGATAAAGTCTAGCCCCTCCTCCACCTCCTTTCCCAACCCCAGTATCGTTTCCAATTGTTCCCAGAGACAATAGCGTTTCCTTTACCTGCCTGACCACCCCAAGCTCTGGGGCCCCTTCACCCTGTTTATAAGAGGCACTGATGGGGCCCAGGCCCAGGGTCCAAGGATCTCATACCTGCAAGATGCCACAGCTGTGGAAACTGAGGCTGGGGTGAGGGTGTGACTTCCTCAGGGTCACAGCAACCAGAGATCTGGGCCAGCAATTGTTGGCCTTTCCTTCCCTTGGCCTCAGTAGGGTTCTGTCCCTCCCTGCCAAGCCCCTCCCCAGCTGTTGTCACATCCTGGCAGTGTGTTTGGGCCAAGGGGGCCCTGGGGCTCAGTAGCACAGACGCTGGGGCAAACAGGCCCACCTTGGGATGCCTCCGCAGAACCTTCATTTATTTGTTCTTATAAGGGACAAAAGCAGAAAAAATAGCTCCTACTCTTGTGGAACTTACATTTTAGTGTGGGAGGTAGACAATCAACAAGATAAGGAAGTGAAATATATAGCCTGTCTGAAAATGATTCGCTGTAGACACATGAAGGAAGCAGAGGAGGGTCTGGGAGGGGCAGCAGGAGGTGGGGTGGAGGGAGTGTACATTTAAATAGGGTGGTTGGGTGACATCTGGGCAAAGATTTGAAGGAGGTGAGACATGGAAGCATGTGGAACCTGGATGAAGGGCTTTGTAGGCAGGAGCTACAGTAGGTGCTTTGGGGGCTCAGGACACACCACCCCAAAATATGACTGTAGGTGACTAGAAATATGGCACCCCAGAATATATCTCTTAGGTATATTGATTATGTCAAGCTGGTTATTTTTAGAAATGGCAGACACAGAAGTTGCTCAGAAAAGCTACCCTTTTATAAAGGAAATTTGCATCTATAAAGGACATTTTCACTGGTAATAGTAGAGAGCTGCTCTAACCCACCCTTAAGCACCTGAGAAACTTCTAACTGCATAACAAGGCAACTTGTATTCACCACTGATTCCTTTCTCTCACCCTCTCAGAATTTGTCCCCATCCCCCCTCCAGAAGTCCCAAGCTCCTAGTCCTTTCTGTAGCTCAGGATGGTATAGAAGCCTCGATCACCTGGCCACTCGTTGGAGTCTCATGTTTTTGTGGAACTCCCACAGGTACATACGTAATCAAAATTGTTTTTCTCCTGTTAATCTGTCTTATGTCAATTTAATTTGTAGACCAGCCAAAGAAAGGTAAAGAGAAGCAATATTTCTCCTGCCCTACAGTTTGGCCATCGCAAAGGGACTCACTGAGCCCAGGAGTCTGAGGTTGCTGTGAGCTAGGCTGCTGTGAGCTAGTCCCGCAAAGGGACTCACTGAGCCCAGGAGTCTGAGGTTGCTGTGAGCTAGGCTGCTGTGAGCTAGTCCCGCAAAGGGACTCACTGAGACCTGCTGGCTCTAGGACTGCTGTGGACGCAGGATTTTGCGGCCCTTGACAGAGAGCTGGCTGAGGGTACTATTCTTCCTACCTTAGGGGCCCAGTCTCTGCCTGCAGGGTGGGGTCAAAGTGAGAGTGGTGGCCTGTGTTTTCCTTTTCTTAATTCAGATTAGCAGGAGAAAAATATTTGTGTATGAGCTAGTTTTTGTACAGTGACTCTGGTGTTTTGGGAAGTTTTTTTTTTTTTGTCTGAGTACTCTTATTTTCTGATCCCTTTCTCCCAGGGATGGTTGCTGTTTTGTTGTGTTTTTTTTTTTTTTTTTTGGGGGGGGGAGTGTCTCTGTCATTTGTGTACTTCCTTCTAAAGAGGAGAATCATAAAATGAGGTTCTCCTTTTGTTTTTTTTGTTTTTGAGACTTCAAACTCCTGGGCTCAAGTGATCCTCCTGCCTCAGCCTCCTGAGCAGCTGAGACTACAAGCACCCACCACCACACCCGGCTAATTTTTTCCATTTTTTGCAGAGACAGGGTCTCGCTGTTGGTCAGGCTGGTCTGAGACTCCTTACCTCAAGGGATTCTCCCACCTCATACTCCCAAAGTCTTTTGTCTTGTTTTATGTCTTGAGAACTTGGCTTAGTGACCCGTGAGAATATTCTCTCTGGCCTCTGCCAGCCAGAGGGTGCAAGTAAGTGTTGGCTTGCATCAAGCCACCAGTCTAACCCAGGCCAGGAATCTGAGACAAAAAGTGGCAAGCAGCATTCTTTGTCCCTTAGCTCTCAGATGAGTTTGTCTTCTTTTTTTTTTTTTTTGAGACAGAGTCTCACTCTGTTGCCCAGGCTAGAGTGAGTGCCATGGCATCAGCCTAGCTCACAGCAACCTCAAACTCCTGGGCTCAAGTGATCCTCCTGCCTCAGCCTCCAGAGAAGCTGGGACTACAGGCATGCGCCTACCAGTGCCCGCTAATTTTTCTATATATTTTTAGTTGGCCAATTAATTTCTTTCTATTTATAGTAGAGATGGGGTCTTGCTCCTGCTCAGGCTGGTTTCGAACTCCTGACCTTGAGCGATCTGCCCGCCTCAGCCTCCCAGAGTGCTAGGATTACAGGCGTGAGCCATGACGCTGGGCCAGGAGTTTGTCTTGATAGGAGGTCCCAGTCCATCAGTGGGATATGTCATCTCAACCTTTTTCGCTTGGTCAGTGCTGGGCAAGTCCCATCCAAGTAGTGCCTGCCCAGTGTCACAGATAGCAGGTTTATGACTGCAGGTGGCCCACATTCCTCTGGGAGAGGGAGACACCATTTTCACCCTTGACTGCCTGAGGCAATGAAGGCCTTCGGCTTTTAGGCTATCTCTGGGAGGGAACCTTTTGGATCCTGGGGCTGCAAATTCTCTACCCACATTGGGAATGCCATTTATGTCCACGCTAAAGGTTTATCTGAAGCCTGGAAAGTCACCTCAGGATCTTCCATGAAAGGCCCATTGGTTTGAGTCACTTCTGGGATAAATAAATTGACTACATTTGAAAAAATATTTTACAGCTCTCCTCCCAAACAACTGTCTTATTGGTGCTCATGGGAAGAGCAAATTGAAAAGAGGACACAAAGGAATATAAAAGCTAACCTTAGGGACGCTCTCTCTTTTTTTTTTGGAGACAGAATCTCGCTGGGTTACTCAGACTATGGTGCTGTGGCATCAGCCTAGCTCACAGCAACCTCAAGCTCCTGGGCTCAAGCAATCCTCCTGCCTCAGCCTCCTGAGTAGCTGGACTACAGGCATGCGCCACCATGCCTGGCTAATTTTTATATATTTTTAGTTGGCCAATAATTTCTTCTTATTTTTAAGTGAGTATGTGGGGTCTCACTCTTTGCTCAAGCAGGTTTCAAACTCCTGACTTTGAGCGATCAGCCTGCCTCTTGGCCTCCCAGAGTGCTAGGATTACAGGCTTGAGCCACGGCACACGGCCAGGACTCTCTTAACAAGATTAAAAACCAAAAGCAACACAGAAACCAGAATTAGAGCAAAAGTTCAAATCCAAATCTACCGTGAATTCTCCTCCTCCACCTTCTTATGCTCCCCTATTCCCTGTCCCTGACCCTCCAGAAGATCGCCTGGATCTCGAGACCCCCTAAATTTCCTCCTCAAAACCTGGCCTCATCTCCTCAGCAAGTTCCTTTTTTTTTTTTTTTTGAGACAGAGTCTCACTTTGTTGCCCAGGCCTAGAGTGAGTGCCGATGGCATCAGCCTAGCTCACAGCAACCTCAAACTCCTGGGCTCAAGCCATCCTGCTGCCTCAGCCTCCCGAGTAGCTGGGACTACAGGCATGTGCCACCATGCCCCGCTAATTTTTTCTATATATATGTTAGTGGCCAATTAATTTCTTTCTATTATAGTAGAGATGGGGTCTTGCTCTTTGCTTGCAGGCTGGTTTCGAACTCCTGACCTCAAGCAATCTGCCTGCCTCGGCCTCCCAGAGTGCTAGGATTACCAGCATGAGCCACCAAGCCCAGCCCTCAGCAAGTTCCTTAAGCTCCCCAAACTCCTCCAGCTTCCCCAGAAAATCCCTTAAACACGCAAGTGCCTGATTTAACTTCCCTTTTCCTGAAAGAATGACAGAGAAGGCTCTGGCCTGATCTCCAGGCCCGGGGCATGGAGTTAAGTTACTTTGGCAGAAGCCTCAAAGACTGGCAGTAAGGCTGGCTTTGCTGCTCCTTAAAACTCCCACTTCCAGGGCTGTGTAATCAAGCTCTGCCAGCCTCAGGCAGCTCCCCCATTCCCCTTATGTTCTGCGTGCTGTGCCTGTTCTTTCACAAGGTCATGGGACACAGCACCTCTCTACACAGTGGCAGACCAACTATGGACAGGCCCTATGAACCAATACCTCTTCCCATTCTAGCCCCTCAGTTGCTTAAACTTCAGGCTCCCCTGCTCTCAAGGGACTCGGGACCCCCAAAAGATTGACCTTTGATAATAGGCAAACATGCCTCAAAACTCATTCTTGGAGAAAACCTGCCTCCTTTCTCTAACACCTCTGACCTGAGGCCATCCCTGTTCAGAGAGAGGAGTCTCATGGGACGGCTGTGCACACAGAGCAGATTTAGTAATAATTAGCAGGAGAAAAACATTTGTAAGAATTAGTTTGAATTGTAACTCTTGGTCCTGGGGTACCTATTTGTCATTGATCTTTTCCTTCCCATGGACAGCCATTGCTTTCCTGTTTGTCTCAGTTTTGTTTTGTTTTTGAGACATGGTCTTGCTCCATTGCCCAAGCTAGAATGCAGTGGCGTCATCATAGCTCACTGCAACTTCAAACTCCTGGGCTCAAGGTATCCTCCCACCTTAGCCTCTCAAGTAGCAGGGACTACAGGTGATATGCCACTATACCTGGATAATTTTACTTATTTTTTTGTAGAAACAGGATCTCTCTATGTTGCCTAGGCTGGTCTCGAACTCTTAGGCTTAAGTGATCCTTCTGCCTTGGCCTCCAAAGTGCTCGAATGTCCTGAGAACTAGGCTTTGCTTTCTGCCTGTCTGGGGTGCGTGGGTTATTGGGCCTGCATGTGCAGGCAACCAACCAAAAGATTATCTGTAAATTCTAGGTTGTAGAAAGAAAAAAAAGTTAAAAAGAAAGAAAGATTAGAGCTCCCCACCCCCAAATATGGCCAGACAGAAATATGCATTGCACCCACTTGCAGTTAGTGTTCTGCTGATTGTTACCAACCCTCAAGGGGTTATCTGTGTCTTTCTTTCAGCTATCCTTGGGAGCGGCTCTGGATCTTGGAAGGACTGCATCTTACTGTAGCCTATCTGGAGATACCTCATGCATCTGTAATTAAGCCATAAAAGATTTATTGGTTGTGAGTTATAAAAGAATTATTACTTTTGCTGTTGAGTCACTTGATGAATACCATTGGTTGAGACAAAGAGAAGGGGAGGGAGAGGAGAGAACTATTTGGAAATTGGGCAAGTGAAAATTCTTAAGTCTTTTTCACAAATATCAGTAAAAAGCTTTAGCCATAGGGCTCGGGCGCGTGTGGCTCACGCCTGTACCATCCCTAGCTCCTTGGGGGACCCGAGCGGACGCGAAGATTGCTCAAGGTCCAGGGAGTTCAAAACCAGCCTGAGCAAGAGCCAGACCCCGTCCTACTATCAAATAGAAAGAAATTAAATTGGCCAACCTGATATTAATCATAAAAATTAAGCCGGGTCTGCATGGTGGCGCATGCCTGTAGTTCCCTAGCTACAGTTGGAGGCCTGACGGCGCAAGGACAGGCTTGATGCACAAGGAGTTTGAGGTTGCTCGTGAGTCTAGCTGATGCGCCATCGGCACTCACTCTAGCCTGGCAACAGAAGCTGAACTCTGTCTCAAACTAAGAAAAAAAAGAAAAAGCTTTAGCCATCTGAGTAGTTAACCTTAACTTGTCCATTTTGCCAGAAACACAATTTAGACCCAGCTATTCTTTTTTTTTTTTGTTTTTTGAGAACCGAGTCCTCGCTTGTCTGCCCAGGTCAGAGTTGATGCCGTGCATCAGCAGCTCCCGAGCAACCTCAAACTCCTGCTCTTCAACTGGGTATTGGGGCTAAAAAAAAAAAAAAAAAACTCCTGGCTCAAGCAGTCCTGCTGCCTCAGCCTCCGAGAGTAGTCTGGGACTACAGGCATCGCCACCATGCCGGCAATTCTATATATATATTTGAGTTGCCAATTAATTTCTTTCTTATTTATAGTAGAGACGGTCTCGCTCTTGTGCTCAAGGCTGGTTTCGAACTCCTGACCTCGAGCAATTCCTGCCCGCCTCAGCCTCCCAGAGTGCTAGGATTACAGGCGTTGGCCCCGGCGCCTGGCTTAGACCCAGCTATTCTTTTATAAACTAGTGAGTTTTATATTATCCTACCTGGCATGTGGCTAAAGTTTTAGAATAAAAGCTGTTAGATTTCCTTTTGTCCGTATGTTTATGTGTGTATATACATGATGTATTTTTCTATTAATACCTCTAAATGATGTTACCAAAATTAATTTGTAAAGGAGCTCTATTTACAAATGACAACATAAAGTAAAACTCTCAAAACAATACAAACAACATATTATAACGAAACACATTAGAACCCAAATAAAAATACATTAAGTAAATGTTGTTGGTTCAGAGTTGTCAGTATTAAATCATAGTGGTGTGGACACGACAACTTCGTTCTGCCTGGCGTCTTCACTAGTCAAATTGTGTCTTGATGGTATCTGTGCTAGGATGTTTAAGATCACTAAAAAATATTATGCAGGCTTCAATCTTAGAATAAATATGTAAGTATAAGTGTAGTGTCCATTACTTCTTACCTATTAAGCCCAGCCATAAAACAAAATCCCATGTATTTAGCTTTTAGGTTTTTCTTTCATGATACTTGCCCAACATGCATGTGCAGTAAAAATAGTTAACAGGGAAATAACTTGATGATGACTACCTTTGTCTAATGCTTCATAAAATTTTCATGAGTAATCCAAGCATAATTGTTAAGAACAAGTGAATTAAATAGATATAAGCAGGATAAAAGTTTACAGATGCACCTTTTAACAATAATTATGTTTTCTAACACGTCTGCTTAAAAATAGTTTCCCAAATCTCTTTGGTAATATACTCCCTTAAAGTTACATGAAGTTAAATGAAACAATGGATGTTCATTGAATATCTAAATCATTTCAAACAAGATAAAATACTGAAACATTAATTATTGAACATAAGTTTATCTACTTTTGGCTTCTTATTACAAAGGAACTAAGATATTTGTGTCTGGCAGTAAATATGTCCTTTGCCACATCTATACTGAGGCCAGGCCCGGTAGCTAACATCTGCAATACTAGCACTCTGGGAGGCCAAGGTGGGTGGATCGTTTGAGCTCAGAAGTTTGAGACCAGCCTGAGCAAGAGCGAGACCCCTCTCTACCGAAAATAGAAAGAAGTTAATTGGACAGCTAAAAATATACAGAAAAAATTAGCTGGGCATGGTGGCGCATGCCTGTAGTCCCAGCTGCTTGGGAGGCTGAGACAGGAGGATCACTTGAGTCCAGGAGTTCGAGGTTGCTGTGAGCTAGGCTGACAGCAGGGCACTCTAGTCCAGGCAACAGAGTGAGACTCCGTCTTAGAAAAACAAAAAACAAAAAAAAACTGTACTATGAGAAAGTACATATTTCTTCTAGGAATTATGAAATGGTATATTTATAGATTTGCCAATCTACAGAATGCTCTGGCATGACAGTTCACAATTGCTTATTTCTTAGTTTGTCACTAGAAATTATGGTTACTGAAGGTTAAGAATTCTAATTAATATATAAAATGAAAACTACTAGAATGAATTAGGGAAACAGCTCTGTATGCAAAGTACACAAGGAAACTAAGGAATATTTTTGGTAAGGAAAATTATAAGGATATATATATATATTTTTTTTTTTGGTAAAGAAAAAGATTGATTTTGTATAGTTTGGAGGATATTTAAAGGTTGTTTCAGAGGAAAACATTTTTGGTTTATATCAGAAGCTGCATCTCTCTCTGACACCCAAAATAAAATAAAATAAAATAGCCAGGTGTGGTGGCTCATACCTGTAATCCCAGCATTTTGGGAGGCTGAGGCAGGAGGATCACTTGAGGCCAGGAGTTTGAGGTTGCTGTGAGCTAGGCTGATGCCACGGCACTCTAGCCCTGGTGACAGAGCAAGACTCTATCTTAAAAAAAAAAAAAAAAAAAGATACTAGTTTAAAGTCTGCTCTAATCACTACCTTTAACTTTTATTTTTCTTTAATTTCTATGGAAAGGCCTTTTTTTTTTTTTCACAGGGTCTCCCTCTTGCCCAGGCTAGTAGAGTGCATAGAGTGCAGTGGCTTCATCAGAGCTCACTCACTGCAACCTCAAATTCCTGGGCATAAGTGATACTCCTGCCTCAGCCTCCAGAGTAGCAGGGACTACAAGTGTGTGTCACCATGCCCGGCTAATTTTTTATTTGTTGTAGAGACAGGGTCTTGCCATGTTCCTCAGGCTGGTCTCAAACTCCTGGCCTCAAGAGATCCTTCTGCCTTGTTCTCCCAACATGCTAGGATTACAGGCGTGAGCCACCAGAACGCCCAGCCCAGAAATGTCTCTTTAATGGGTTATAAGACAATCTACCAACCCAGTTTCTAGATTGTGAAACTTCTTGGGGAAGTTTTAGATGCGGGAATATTGGGGCTCAGGGCACACAACCCCAAAGAATGACGGTAGGAGACCAGAGTATGCCACCCCAAAATATACCTCTTTGGTATATTATTTCAAACTGGTTATTTTGAGAAACTACAGACACAGGAGTAGTTCTGAAAAGCTGCCCTTTTAGAAAGTAAATTTACATAAAGGAAATTCTCATTAGTAAAGATATCTGTATTAGGAAGATAGCTGCAGGAACTTTTATCTGAATAACAAGGTAACTTTTATTCACCACACATTTCTTCCTCTCACTCTTGCAGAATTTGTCTCCATCCCCCTCCAGAAGCCCCAAGCTCCTACTCCTTTCTGTAGCTCAGGATGGTATAGAAACCTCAATCATCTGGCCTCTAGTTGAGACTCTCTTATTTTCATGGGACTCCCATGCATACACATGTAATTAAAATTATTTTTCTCTTGTTAATCTCTCTTACGTCAATTTAATTTGTAGACCAGCCAAAGAACCTAGTAAAGTAGAAGGAAGCAATATTCTTCCTTCTTTACAATTCAAAGGCCCCAGGCAACATTAACTGTGTACTGAGGCAGAGTTAAAGAACACCAAGGAGGCCAGTGTGGCCAAGGCAGAGTGAGCGAGGCAAGAACTAGAAGTTGATCAGGAAGCCAAGGCAGGTCAGGTCACCCAGGGCCTTGTGGGTCTCAGGTAGAGGCTTTGGCTTTAACTCTGAGTGAGATGGGAGCCATTGGACCGTTTGAGCAGAAAAAGGACAGCAAATCATGTTTTATAAGGATCTTTCTGGCCACCTTGTAGAGAAGGGAAACGAACACCAGTCAGGTGGCTACTGCAATAAATCTGGCAAAGGATGTTGAATGCTCAGATGAGGGTAGTCAGGGTAGCATCAGTGACAAGTGGTGAGATTCTGAATATTTTGATAGTAGAGCCACCAGGATTTGCTAATGTAACAGGTGGTGGTCTGTGATAGGTAGAGAGCAGTCAAGTATAACTTCTGCCAGGCACAGTTGCTCATGCCTGTAGTCCTAGCACTTTGCTGAGGCAGGAGGATTGCTTAAGCCCAGGAGTTCGAGGTTGCAGTGAGCTATGATATGATCATACCACTGCACTCCAGCCTGGGCAACAGAGCAAGACCTTGTCTCTAAAAAAAAAAAAAGAAAGAAAAACTTCCAAGATTTTTTGGCCAGAGTAACTAATTAGAAAGATGCAATTGCCACTTACAGAGATGGGGAAGCCCAGGGAAGGAGCAGGTCAGGGGGAAGATGAGGCCATTTATCTGCTGTGTGACTTGGATGAATTCCTTAATCACCCTGAACCTCAGTTTCCTCATTTGGTTATAACAATTGTACCCTATAGGGTGGTGGTGAGAACTGAATGAGATCATGAACTCGGAGGCTTGGCATATGTGTGAACTCCATAGATGTCTCACACACAGCCCTGGGCTGGCACATGGCCATCTCACCTCCTCAGGAAACTACTGGAAGGAGAGGAAGACTATGACTATAAATCTATACTCTCCAGCTCCTCTTCCCTGCTTCCTCTGGGTAGAAGTGGGACAGGCCTTTTTGATCTTGTAAGTTTTCTTTCTTTAAGGTCTTTGCTGATGGTACTGATGATGATGTTAATGGCAACTGGAGGTGGGGATGGTGGAAAAAATGATCATGTTCCCAAGGCTTTGAATTTTTTTTTTTTTTTGAGACAGTGTCTCACTCTATTGCCCGGGCTAGAGTGCTGTGGTGTCAGCCTAGCTCACAGCAACCTCAAACTCCTAGGCTCAAGCAATCCTTCTGCCTCAGCCTCCCAAGTAGCTGGGACAACAGGCATGTGCCACCATGCCCAGCTAATTATTTTCTATATATTTTTATCTGGCCAATTAATTTCTTTCTATTTTTTAGTAGAGATAGTCTCGCTCTTGCTCAGACTGGTTTCAAACTCCTGACCTTGAGCGATCCTCCCGCCTCAGCTTCCCAGAGTGCTAGGATTACAGGTGTGAGCCACCACACCCAGCCCCAAGGCTTTGAAGTTTACAAAACACTTCATAGTCATTTTCTCATCTGAGTCCAGCAAGGAATTATACCCATTTTGTGAAGTAGGAGAATGCAGTATTTAAAAAAACAAAATAAAACCCAGGCTGGAAACCTAGATAAACCTGGCTACCTCACAGAATTTCATTTCATCTGAGGAGGGAGAAGTAGGTAAGGAAGATCCTGAAGTGTGCACCCCTCTTCCTGCTGGAATGAGAATGCCACCCAGCTGTGTCCAACTGCAGACTGTGCCTCCATGTCTCTGTCCTCAGAGAGGGCCCACAAGGGCCTGCCTGGGTCCTGGTCTCCCTGCATCAGCCGCTCTGAGCATGCCTGGTGCTCAGATGTGTGTGTGGGCTGCTTCCGAGGTTTGGGCAAGTGGGTCTCATACACTGTCGCATTCCAATCACTCCTTCCATTTACTCCCAGTTTTTGAGTTAACGGAGGAGGGAAGGGGGCCTAGAAGAGTCAATATGCTTAAGGCAACACAGTTAATTAGAAAGTGCAGTCTGTAGCTCTCTGGGAGGCCGAGGTGGGCGGATTGCTCAAGGTCAGGAGTTCGAAACCAGCCTGAGCAAGAGCGAGACCCCGTCTCTACTATAAATAGAAAGAAATTAATTGGCCAACTAACATATATATAGAAAAAATTAGCGGGGCATGGTGGCACATGCCTGTAGTCCCAGCTACTTGGGAGGCTGAGGCAGGAGGATTGCTTGAGCCCAGGAGTTTGAGGTTGCTGTGAGCTAGGCTGACACCATGGCACTCTATCCTGGGCAACAGAGTGACACTCTGTCTCAAAACAAGAAAAAAAGAAAAGAACCCCCAGAAGAAAAATTCAAATTGCGTGGGGAAGAACTCCTGCCAGATTGAGGGAGAAGGGTTAGGGAATCCTAGGTGGACAGAGGAGGACAAGGAGGCAAGAGGAGGGGAGGATTAGAGGATGAGAAAGTCCAGGGCACAGGAGCAGCTGAGGAAGCTGGGAATGTCAGGCTGCAGGTGGTCCCCCCTCCTGCTTTACTCTTGCCTTCTCAGCCTCCCCATCTGTGCTGTGCTGAGAACCCTCCTGCTCCAGCTACCTTGCCAAGAGAAAAGGATTCACGAAAGCAAAAATGACCCATGAATTGAGTTCTGGGGAGTATGAAGTTGTGAACTGATGGGAAGGGGAATTCCTGCCCAACTCGTGTCTTTGCCAGGTGAGGCGGGAACAGGAAGTGCAAGCCTAAAGCCTGGGTCGCCTACACAGGCACTGACCCACTGACCCCACCATGCCCGCGCCGCTGCTCCCGCTGCTGCTGCGAGTGCTGCTGTCCCGCCTGCTGCTGCCCGCTGCCCGCCTGGCCCGCCAGTACCTCCTGCCCCTGCTGCGCCGATTGGCCCGCCGCCTGGGCTCCCAGGACATGCGAGAGGCTTTGCTGGGCTGTCTGCTGTTCATTCTCAGCCAGCGACACCCGCCGGACGCTGGGGAGGCCTCCAGAGTGGACCGCCTGGAGAGGAAGGAGAGGTTAGGCCCCCAAAAGTGAGGCCATGAGTCCTGCCAGCATCCATCAAAATGCTTTCTGGAGCAGGACAGTCCTGGCACCAGCACTGACCTCAGCCTGCCCAGTGGGCAGAAGATATAGTGGGGGCTGTGGGGCTGTGCATGAGAGGGGACTGACCCAGAATGTCTCCCCGCTCCCAGCAGAAATGTCTTTCTGGAAGGATGCCGAGCACCTAGCAGAAAACTGATCATTGCTCCTCCCTCTTTCCCCCAAGACCTCTTCTAATCACCTCTGGCCTCAGGGGGAGGGGACCTGACCTCTCCCCAACCCCTGCTAATGGTGACATCAAGGTCCAGTGAAGGACAATGCTTAACCTAGGGACAAGTGACAATTTAGCTGAGAGATGAAAATTGAATCCAGAGAGGGTCTTCCAGACTCAGGACCTACCTTAAAATAAGACCTTGGTTCCCTATGGAGGCAGACCTGTCCCCAGAGTTCTGCACTCAGCAAGTGCTCAATAAATATTTGTTAATTTGAGTTCTCTGGAAGCTTTTGAAAGTCTAATCACTCAGATTCCTGCCTCGCAAGACGGTCTGTTTGTTTTGGTCTGAGGAAGCTGGTGGGGGGTGGGCCGGGAGGAGACGACAACTTCAAGCCTTTCTTTTGCTACCAATTCCATTGTAGGTCTGTTCTCACAGCCTGGAAGTTGTTTCTAGTGCTTTGCTTCAGTCTGTATGTCACGCTGTGACCCAGTAAGGTCTTGAGTCTGTCTCCAAGAAAGATTGGCTGGCAATAGGGAGGAAGTAGGGAGGGAGTAGGAAGTAGGCAGTAGGGGGGAAAAGGTCCTGGAGTCAGTTTGGAGACTTCTCAGCTAGTGGTGGTGGGAAGAGGGAGATTTGTTTGCCAAGGGACTCTGTGGGCAGCCCCTCTGGGAGGCAGTGCCCCAAGAGACATTCCACCCTAGAAGAGGTCTGAGGTGGGTGAGTCACCCAAAGGATTCCTGTCATCATTTCCTCTTGCCCAAAGGGAGGTACCTCAGGGGTTAAATAAGCGTCGTTAGACACATTTGCATCCCAGCCTCCGGGTAATTTGCTTATTGTTCCCGGGCATTAATGCTCCCTCCTAGAGTGAGTCCTGGCCTTTATCGATCTAGGGTCAGGGGAAAATAGTGAGGAATATAGAGACCTGTCCGGACCCCATCTCCTCCCCACACCTGTCAGAAGCCAGGGCTGGGCTAAGAAGTGAGACCAGAGCTCTGCGCCCCCATCCCAGCCTTGTGTGACACCCCGCAACCCACCTCCTATCTGCTTCCTTCTGGAGTCCTCAAAAGCCAGTGCACGTGCTCGCCCTTCTCGGGAAGGCGACCTGAGAGCGGAGGCGAAATGAAGGGGTTCTGAGTCCCTGGGCCCCTAACTGCGACCCACTCCGTGGTCTCGGGTGCCCAAAGGCACCTGCCGCGCCGGCCGCCCTGCCCAGGCCCGACGGGCCCCTCCCACTGGGCCTGCCCTGGCCTCGCTTCCCGCCCGCTGCCTGGAGCGCTCCCCGCCCCCGAGTCGCGAGCGGCGCCTGGCCGGACAGAGCCGGCCGCGGAGCGCGGGGAGGGCCCGGGATCGCCCGTTGCGGCCATTCTCCCGCCCGGCGGCAGGGACCGGTCAGGCCCGGCGCGGGCTGCGCTCTCCGGCCATGGCTACGGCCCCAGCCCGGAGGTGAGGAGGGAGAGAGGCCAGCCCGGGAATTGCCCCATCCCCCGCCCCAGTCCGGATGCCGGCTCCAAAGTCTCAGCAGGTGCGCGGGGCTGGGGCCCCGGGGAAGGGCCTGGCGGGGTGGGGGCGGGGCCTGCGCGGTTCTCACGCTGCCCGGCGGGGCCCGCTGGCCGTGTAGGGGGACTTACTCGGGTAGAGTTTATCAGTGGGGCCGGAGTCTGCGGTTTCTGGAGGAGGGGATAGTTTTCTGGGACTTTGAAAGCCTGCAGTTAGATAACTGCCTCCCCTCTCCCCCAACCCCCTCCAGCCCAACACCACCTTACAGATGTCCCCAAGATTAGAGACCTGCCGAGAGCAGAGGCTGGGGGTAGTGGGCAGACGTCTGGGAAATTAAGCTAGACGACCAAGCCCAGACCTAGTGAACAAAGATTTAAATCTTCTTGAACCTTGATCCTGTACCTACCCTGTGTACACACTTGCCTTTATTTAAAATTTTGATGTTTTGTTCATCATAGATTCTTCTCATTAACTTTGATTTTTAGACATTGCATTAAAATTTATCTTGGTTACTGCATTTTTTGGCGCCCCCTTAAATTTTGCACCTCTTTAAATTTTGAGCCTCAACCAGTGCCTCACTGGCCTCTTCCCTAGTCCCAGCCCTGCCCTGGAGCCATGGCAATATAGTCACAAACACAACTGAGAACATAGACGGTGCTGGTGACAGACCTCCAGGCCAGCAAACACTTGAGCAAACACATGGCTTGTTGGTGACAGCTGAAAAGACACAGGCCTGAAGAGGGATAAGACTGCGTGTGAGGCATGCGTGGGGCCTGCAAAGGAGAGGAGGGAGGGCAAGCCACAAACCCAAATAGGGTAGAGAGTAGGGGTGCAGCTGGACCAGCCTTCCCCACCCCACCCCACTCCTGTGACAGGGACCTGAGGGAGCCCAGGGAGAGAGAGTGCCCTAAGACTGGGCAGAGGGTGAAGAGGACTGGCAGGGTTTAGCTAGAAAAACTCTGGGCAAGGCTGAGTTGGGGTTCTGGGGGCTGTCCAGCAGAGGGCCCTGGCACCCAGCAACCGCCTCTGCCTAGGGAGGCAGCTCCGGAGGGGTGTGGGTTCTGGCTGGGGGCCCAGGCAGGGTGTGCGCCAGATGGGCTTCTCTCCAACAATAATGGCCCTGGCTGTTGCCATCTGCTGAGCCCCGCCAGGCCCCAGCAGGGGAGGCGGGGGAGGAACCAACTTTCTCCATTCTGGCCTGGGACCCTCACCACTTCCCTCCGGTTTCCTTCCATTTCCAGCCCTGTCTGCACACAACTGTAGCCACTGACCACCAGCCTGGCCATGTCTGGCAGATCTGTCTGACAACTATGCCTGCCACCCCCACAGGCTCAGAGAGGGGGAAAGGAAGGTGGGAAGAGAAGCAGGGGCCAAGGAAGAGGGGAGAGGAGGGCTTGGAGAGGAAGAGAGAGAGACTGGACAAACATGAGGGCAGGAATCAGGGGGTTGTGGACAGACATGAAACCACTCTCAAACCATGGGGCAGCTCCTAGAAAAATATTGTCTTCCTGCCCTCTGTCTGGTTTAGGGCTGGGGAGTTAGATGTTTGTCATTTCTGTGGAACATGGAGCCAGAAGGCTGGGGACACCCTCTCTGCCTCTCTGAAGCAGCTTAGGGAGAGCCCAGGTACCCTAAGTGAAAGGTTATTTCTCCCCTCAGGGCCCAGTCTGTTTCTCTGGGGAGAGGGTGTGACTCTACTTATGCCTATGGGGCTAATTGTTAATCAGTGTCTATTGCTAATTGTTAATCAGTGTCTATAGCTTCTGGAGGGGACAGGCCTCTGGGTAGTTTGGGGTGAGGTGGGCAGCCTGGACTGGATTTTCTCTCTTCAGAGAGAGAATCACTAGCCTTCAAATCGTCCTCTGGCACTGGGTGCTGCTGTAGGGGCAGTGAGTGACCCCCACCCCACCCCATTTACTGCCCAACAAAAACGAGAGTCCTTCCTGGTCCCTTGGAGGTACATGACAGACCACCTCCTCAGCACGCCCACCCGCTTCCTCCTCAGCTAGTGGAGGATGTAGCGCTCTTTGAGGCTTCCGCCTCTGAGGAGTACCTTCTGGCTGGGACAATGGGATTCACTCAGGATGCAAGTCTGTTCCTGGCTGTTTCTCTTCCTATTCCCAACTGTGCCTCAGTTTTCCAAAGTGCTGGATTTAGAAAGGGTGACTCATGAGGAGGCTACAGGGCTGTGCCTCTACGCCCTCTTCACACACACACCGCCGGCCACACATGCCTTCCAAGTCAGAGTTGTGGGTGGTGTAGCGCTTGTGTGTCTGTGGCCAGGTTTGTATGTGTCAGAGGTGGGAAGCCCACCATGCAGGTCACAGAACGGTTAAGTTGGAGGGATCCCAACAGGAAATGCGGTTGGGGGGCTGGGGAGGGGGACAGAGGCAGTGTTGAAGTAAAAGAAAAGGAGGGGGTCTGAAGGAAGAAGGTGGCATTGAAAGGAGGGCGCTGGAAAAATAGGCGCAGTGTGAAGGAAGTGGAGTGGGCGGGGTTTGGGAAGGATAACGGAACATCTGAGATGGAGTGTGGATAGGGGACGTCCGGGCCTGTCTGAGCAGAGGGTTTGTGGACGCGAGAGTCCCGAGACGCATTCTGTATCAGTGTGCGTAACCCGGCGCGCAGGAGACTAGGGGTACCCACTGTGGGTCTGTGCCTCTTTAGCCCCATGTGCCCCACATGACGGACAGGCTCTGGGGTGTCAGCGTGCAAAGACGTGCTGTCTACAGAAATAGGAACGCGAACTGGCGGCCCCTAGGGGCGCAGGGTCTCGGCGGGTGAGCCCCAGAGCACAGAGCGCTGTGCGAGTGGCAGGGGCGGGCCGGGGGCGGGGCTGGGGGCGGGCCGGCGTTGGGGGAAATGGTGGCGGGCGCTGGGCCCGGGAGGGCCCAGCCGAGGGTGGGTTTGAATGTGCTCAGGCGGGCGCGGAAAGCTGCCGGCAGAGCGCGCCAATCTCGGCGAAGGAGTCCTTCTCCAGCAGGTGCCCAGGGCAGGGAGGCTGGGGGGTTGGGGGCCTGGGGAGGTGGGGACGGCCTGGGCAGAAGACGCCACTCCCTGCTTGCCACGAGGGAAGGGAGGCCGGGCCTGACAGCTCCGCGGCCTTGAGAGAGGACGCCAGGTGGGTCACTGGCTTCCCGCGCGCGCGGAGCGTGCGGCGCCGCACAGCACGTGGCGTGCACCGGCTGGGGGGGCCTGGGGACCCTGCGCGGACAGGACCCGAGCAGGGCGTAGGCAGCCTGCTTCCCCGCCTGAAACCCGCTGTAGTCACGCTAACCTCCGCAGGAGGCTGGCGAGTGGACGGTTAATCCCGATCGATCTAGTTGTTGGTACAGGGGAGGGGCTGCGCCGCCGACCGCGCTGGGTGAGGGGGATGGGGTGAGGGGTGAGGATGGAGGGACGCGAATGGAGGTGGAGGAGCTGTCTCTTTTAACCCCCGGCTGTTACTGGCCACACTCGTGTCGCTGGCTTCTCCTCCCTGGGCGCGTCCTAATTTACTCATTTACTATGATTGTGAGTGAGTGAAAGGAGAAAGACACATAAACCCAGGTTTTCTTACCAGAGGAGAGCAGTAGGGGGTGAAGGCTGGTTACACCTCTGTCCCTTACCCCTGTCCGGGCTCTCTCTCCAACCCTGTGGCCTTTGCCTACTCCTCTCACTAACCTCCAGACCGCCCAGCTTGTCCTGCCTGTGTAAGCTCTCTGTGCTAGCAAGTGTGTGATGGGGAGGAGGTGGGGTGTCTTATGCAGGACAGTCATGCCAGGTATAAAAATATTAAAAGAAAATCAAAGTCTCAGTCCCCCCCCTCCCCTAACTCCTTATACAAAAGGGAAGGTAAAAGCCTCAGACACTTGGGAAGAACTGGCCCCACAGCTCATCCTTTAAGGAAATTCCTTGCTAACCTCCCATAAACAAGGATATGCAAATTGTACCTATATCTAGCACCTAAAACTAAAGCCTATCAAATTCCACACCAATCATGAATTACAAGTTTATCTTACAGGTAACACAGACTAGGAATGATGTTGGCCCCCACCACATTTTTTCCCCTTTAGTTGGAGCAGAGTCCCTCCACCCCCACCTCCCAGTTTCCAGGGCTAGCTGGGAGAAGCAGCCTTTATACCTCCCTGCCCAACCTAGAAGGAGCCTAGAGTGAGCTGTATGTTGACTTTGAATCCTGGCTCCCTCACTCACTAGGCTCTATGACCTTAGGCACGTGAGTCAACCTCTCTGAACCTCAGCCAGCCCTATCTGTTCAGTGGCAGCGATCTAGTACTAGTTGTGAGGAAAAGAGGAGGATCTGCAGGTAGTGGCTGGCCTCATATGGAATCCTGGGGAGTGGAGAATTTGATGCTACCACAAGGGTGTCCAGAAGCTGGGGTGCATGAGAGGTGTTGGGAACCTGGGAATAGGGTGGTGCTCAATTTGGTGGCTGCTTTCAGGGCCCCACCTTGGCAGGCCAGGGTGTGCCTGGAGGGATACTAGATTCTCTGAGCTGCTATCAGATCCCTGGGTGCTGCTGGGCAAAGGCAGACAGGAACAAAACATCTAGGCTGGCCAGCCAAGTGTTAGGATGTGGGCAGGAGGACGGGGCTGCCTATGGAGTTAAAGTGTGCTCAGGACTGGGGTAGGGAGTGCTGAGAGCAGAAAGCAGGGGTGTAGCTGGGAGGAGGGCAGAAATAAATTCTTCTTCTCTAAATAAGGCTAAGGCAGTTTTACCCAGGGGAAGGGGAGCTATACCCCCACGCCAGTCTCCCATCTGGCTTGAAGCTGCACCTGCTCTTAACTGCCAGGAACCTTGCCTGGGGCTGGGGGGGCAGGGCACAGGGTGTGCTGAGGTGAGAAGCTGGTGGGGGGATGCCCTCCCTACTACCTACTAGAAAACCTGAGACCTGGGCCTTTTCTCCCCCACTCCCCACCCCAGTGGGGCCCTATCGCCTCCACCCCTCTAGAAAATATAAATACTGTTGTTTATCACTGGGTCCTGTTGCCTAGAACAGTGCCTAGCTGTCATGCAGAGGTCCTCAGCAAGTATTTGTTGAGAGGATGATTGGAAGGATCCTATGCCTCCATCTGGAGGTGTGTGGGTCTGTTCCTCCCCTCTCTGCCCTACAACCCAGGTGTGGGCTGGGGGGCTGAGGAAGATGTTTGGAGAGTCTGGACTTTACCCTGGGAGGAGTGGAAAAGTCCATTGAGGGTCTGCAGGGTGGCCAGCTGCATTTGTTTGTCTCAGGGCAGGGCCTGGTGCCTGGACAGCACCTGGAGGCTATTGCCTCAGCTCCCCTGCTGAGCCTCCTTGTTCTCTTATCTCCCAGAGCAGGCTACCTACGGGTGGCCTTTTATCTCCTGGCTGGCTGTACTTCTGCTTCTTCACTTGTGAGGTTCTCAGAATGGGGCCCCAAGAAACTAAGGGACTCTCTCCTGATGTACCCTGTGCCACCATTTTCATTCTGGACCCTCACCCAGGAGCCCGCACACAAGTCTTGCTGCCTGAACCTGGACTAGGAGCACCTCCTAGAGACTGCCCAGGCCCCCTCTGCTCTGACCCTTCTGTGGGCGAGTCTGGGGGTCCGGTGAGTGCCTACAGGAGGGCGGGGAAGCCTGTTCTCATGGCCCAGACAGCGAGACCTGGTCCCAGAGCTAGACCCTCGTGTGGGGAATGTGCCAGTGCATGTCTGCCTGGCTTCCCGTGCCAGCCACCGGGAAAGCTATTCAATCTGCTGGTGCCAGGGAGCCTCCCCCAACACAGGTGGGGAGCAGAGAGGGACGCTGAGGCTGCAGGCTAGGAGCTCTGAGACTACGCAGTTAGAGCCTGTGTCCTCCACTCCTCCAATCTTCCCCTCAAGGTCACTCTCAGAAAGGGGAAGAGGACAGGGACCTGGGGCTGACACAGAGAGGAGCAAAGGGGGAACCGGGTGACCCTGGGGCCAGGACTGGGGGCAGTGACCACGCTGGACTGTGGCAGGGGCTGTTTCCCCACTCCCATTGTGAAATACTTGCCTAGAAAACTGGCTTGCAACTAGGAAGCCACTGGGCAGTGGCTGGGAAGAAAGGTTAAGTGCCACTGGCAGAGAGGCTGGGGTGTGTGTGCCCCTAGGAAGGGACATGCTTTCCAGAGCCCACCCAAGCCATGAATCTAGGGGCTCCCCAGGGAGGGTGGAGAGGCCTGTCTGCCTTGGCCTCAGTCATCATCCCTGTAGTGCCTGCTCCTGCAGGTCTGTTTGGTTCCTTCTTCCTCTGCTCCCTCTTACCCTCTGCTCTGTCTCCACTTTGTTTCTCTCCTTCCATTGTCATCACTGTCCCTGACCGCTGTCATCCTCTTCCCTGCCGCCTTTGACTGTCTTTCCCTCCCTCTCAATCATGCTTCCTCCTCCTTCCCTCCCGCTCTCCACCCGCCTGTTTCCCAGCTTATAAACTGCTTCGGCTGCTGGATAAAAATAGCAGTGGCAGCGGCCAGGCCGGGAGCCAGGTAGAGCCTGAGCAGGCAGGGGGGCCCAGCGGGACAGGTCTGCAGGGCCAGGGGGCCGGCGGGGGGATCAAGTTGAGTGGTCCTGAGGGGCAGGGTCTAGAGGGGGTCCTGCTGGACTCTTCAGCTTGCCTGCTCTGCCTGCCCTGCCCCCTCTACCCCCCAAGAGTCAAAGGAGGCCTGTGGGGACACAGGGCCAAGACGGAGCCTCACACTGCTTCTGCCCCCAGCAGGTACCAGAGGGAGAGAGCTATCAACCAGGCAAAGCTGAGAACACCATCGCCATGACAACCAGTCACCAGCCTCAGGACAGGTAAGGGAGGGGGCCTGGGCTGTGGATTCAGGGAATGGGTTTCCAGGGGCTGGGTGTGGTGTCCCTTGGAATTTGGAGTTACTGTGAGTGAGGTCTGCATCTGGGGTGTGACCGTGCATGCCTCCGCTGGGTGCTGGCTCGGGCGTTTGTGGGGAGGGCCAGGTGGGTGGGCAGCAGCCCTTCCCTGGCCTGTCAGTGTTTCCACTGTTGCTCTCCAGCCAGTCAGCAGCTTCTGGCTCTCTCGCCACCACTGTGGGGAGACACTTGGCAGCACCTCTCATTCCAGAGCACATCTGGCAGAACTGCCCGGGGGCCTCTACCTTAGATGACCTCGGCCCACCCTGGTCCTTGATCTAACCTTCCTCTCACTTCCCCACCTCTGGAGCCAGAACACCCTCAAGTTAGACTTGCAGTTATGATCGTGAATGTGTGTTTTGGAAAAAGAGGCGGTAGCATGATTTAATTTCTCCTAGGGGTCTGGGACCCAAGAGAGTTGAGGAGATTATGCCTGGAAGTTCCAAAATGCCTTCCGTGTGTCAGACTCTGTCCTTCCCTCCAACGCGGGCCCCCAACCCCTCACATCCCCTCTGCCCACCCCACCTCCCTCCTGTGCCAAAGGCTGTGAGACTAGGCCACTCCTGCCTGTGAGGCCAGGAGCACTTTGCTCCATCTCCCTGGGACCATTTCCCCACCTGTGAAATAGAGGTAAGAGTATCCATTCACAGGGGTTTATCTGCAGGGGGAGAGAATTTAGGAGGCCCAGTAAGTGCTGACCCAGGTGGTTCACTGCCTCCCCTCTCCTGATCCCAGGCCGCCCGTCCCAGCCTCGCCTCTCCTAGGCAGCTCCCTGAAGCCCTCCCATCTCCATCCACCCGGTCATACTGCTTGCTCACTCCCCAGCCCCCACCCCCCCAAGCATCTGTCCTGTGTGCCCTTGGCTGGGAGTTTTTCCCTCCATCTGGGCCTCTGAACCAAGACTTTAGCTTCTCTACTTCAGGGGGAGTGTGCATGTGCAGAACGTGGGGCTGCGGTCGTAACAGCTCAGACCTGCCCGCCTGGGGTGCCCGCCAGGCCCTCCCCGTGTGAGGCCTGCTAGTGGTCCAGGCCCCCCACTCTGTCCGGACCTGTCTCCTCACCGCCTGGGGCTTTCTCCTGCCTTCTCTGAAGGAAGCTGGTGCTGGCTGTGAGGGGGGCATGGCAGACACATCTGGAGATCTTGATGGGAGGCTGGGGTTCCTAAGCTTGCAGGCAAGGCCTTCCTGGGGGAAGCTGGCCTGTCCCAGACAGGTCTTGAGGTGTAGGGACTGGCCATCGCCCTGGCCAAAGCTGGGCAGCCCTTGTTTACCGCTCTGGGGCTCAGATGGCGTCCAGTGGCCCCATACCTCCTGGCCTGCCCTGGGTGGTATGACCTACAAAACCAGTTCTCTGTGGGCCAGGAGAAAATAGCTTTAGGTCCCTCACTTCCCAGCTGCCCTGAGGCACCCTGCCTGCCTGCCTGCCCCTTCTAGATCCAGAATGGTCTGAGAGTTCAACCTCAGAGTCCTCCTCAGGGAACCACAGAGTCCCTGCCCAGACTGCATAATCACTTCCAGCCTGCCGAGTGGGGGTGGAAGTTACTTGTTGTCTGTTTTTTCACAAAGCCGCCCACCCCCAGCCCATTAGCAGGGTTTCCAGAACCATCTCCGGATGTGTGGGTCACACTGGTTCCCAGCCTGCAGGGTCCCCAAGGGCCTTCCAGGACTGAGAACCAGGGTCCTGTTAGCCATGCCATTCTGTGACCCCAGCCCCCTGCCTGAGTTTCAGCTGACCCTTTGTGGTCTGTGTGCCCTTTCCCCTATCCCAGGACAGCCCCCCACCCCACTCACCCCCTAAGAGACGCAGGCACATGGACACAAACACAGATGCCTTGTGCCCTGGGACAGCGGGAGAGACTGACAGCCAGGGAGGGACGGAGCTTCCCCAGGACCAATCTGGGAAGGGGGTGGGATGGTGGGTCACTGTCACTTGGCCCCTCTTTCCTCTCCCAGATACAAAGCTGTCTGGCTTATCTTCTTCATGCTGGGTCTGGGGACGCTGCTCCCTTGGAATTTTTTCATGACGGCCACTCAGGTGAGACTGGAGGGACAGGGCTCCGGGGGGTCCTTGTCCACTGGGCATTCCGGTCCCTGAGTGTGTACCTGCAGGCCCAGGGAGAGAGATTTTAACACTCCTGTCTGCAATCCACACAGTATTTCACAAACCGCCTGGACATGTCCCAGAATGTGTCCTTGGTCACTGCCAGACTGAGCAAAGACATCCAGGCCTCGGCTGCCCCCACAACAGCCTCGCCAGCCCGGAACTCCCTCAGTGCCCTCTTCAACAATGTCATGACCATATGTGCCATGCTGCCCCTGCTGCTCTTCACCTGCCTCAACTCCTTCCTACATCAGAGGTGAGCACCTGGCCCCAGCCCAGCCTGACCCTCGCTGCCTCCTGCACCTCCTGGGCTGGGCCCCGGGTTTGCCCACACCTCTCGGCCTTTCCTGGCAGGATCCCCCAGTCGGTGCGGATCCTGGGCAGCCTGGTGGCCATCCTGCTGGTGTTCCTGATCACTGCCATCCTGGTGAAGGTGCAGATGGATGCGCTGCCATTCTTCATCGTCACCATGGTCAAGATCATGCTCATTAACTGTAAGCCAGGAGGGGGCCTGTAGGCTGAGACTCCCACACACCCCTGCCCTTCTTTCAGACCTGCCATCAGCCTGGGGGGGTGCTCATCCCTCCCCCGTCCAAGGGAGTGGATGCTGGGGGGAGGGGGGCACTTGGGATTCAGAGGTCTGAGCAGGCCTGGACCAGGGTTGGGAGGTATAGAAGAAGGGGCAGCTCAGTGTCAAGACTCACTGGGAATGAAGCAGGAGTTACAGGGACCCCCGATTTCTGGCCCCAACTCCCTGCTGATGCCCACCATGTTCCCCCAGCATTTGGTGCCATCCTGCAGGGCAGCCTGTTCGGACTGGCTGGCCTCCTGCCTGCCAGCTACACGGCCCCCATCATGAGTGGCCAGGGCCTAGCAGGCTTCTTCGCCTCGGTGGCCATGATCTGCGCCATTGCCAGTAAGTCCTGCTGTCCATCTGCCAGTGCCCTGGTGGTGGTGGGGGAGGGGATGGGGCCTGTCTCTGATCACTGACACCACCCCAGGTGGCTCGGAGCTGTCAGAAAGTGCCTTCGGCTACTTTATCACAGCCTGTGTCGTTATCATTTTGACCATCATCTGTTACCTGGGCCTGCCCCGGCTGGTGAGCAAATTGGGGGAGCTGGGGTTTGGGGTCCCAGAGGTCTGGGGTTCCAGACCAAGGGTGTTCAGAGGCTGAAACCTGGGGGAGGCAGGAATTCTGAAGATTCTGCCTCTGAATCCACCTCCCATCTCCCTTACTTGATAGGAATTCTACCGCTACTACCAGCAGCTCAAGCTCGAAGGGCCTGGGGAGCAGGAAACCAAGCTGGACCTCATTAGCAAAGGTCTGCAGAGCCTGAGGAAGCTGTGGTGGGGACAGCACGCCAGGAGGGGGGGCAGTGTGAGCGAAAAGGACAAGAACAAGTGTACTGTTTTACCTGGCAGCCCTGAGCCAGAGGACAGGGGGACCAGGGATGGGGTAAAGGGGCAACAGGAAATAAGTACTGGGTAAGGTAAAATGGGGGTAGATCCTGGATGACCTTGAATATTAGAGGCATTTGGACTGAAGGTGGTGGGAGGCAAGTTCAGATTCTTGGGCAGGAAGCAACATGACCTGAGGCTCTTGGGAGAGGTCAGGCAAACGGGTCTCTAGGTGTGGGGACTTGAAGGGGAGCATTAGGGTATGGACTGGCAAAGGAGGTGTCCACCTCCAACTAATCCCAGCCCTTTTTGGGAATGTTTGTGTCATCTCCTGTTGCTTTGTCTTCCCCACAACTTGAAGGTTCTTCCACAACCTGCCACCCCCCGGGAGAGGAGCCAAGAACAGGCAAAGAGGAGTCCGGGGTTTCAGCCTCCAACACTGGGCCCACCAACAATAGCCACTGTATCAGAGCCATCCTCAAAAATGTACGTAGAGCAGGGTGTCCTACCCTCTACCCCACACCCTCTTGGTCTCCTTTTGTTCTTTCCCCCCTGCCACCCATCTCCTCCCTTTCAGACTTGAGACAGTCACTCTCCTGCATTCTTTCATGTGTGTGTGTGTGTGTATGTGTGTGTGTGTGAGAGAGACAGGGGCGGGGATTCTTGGTTCTTTGATGTCCAGCCACCGTGAAAACACAGGGACCTGGGTGAATCCCCTTCCCCTTCTCTCCAGATCTCAGTCCTGGCCTTCTCTGTCTGCTTCATCTTCACTATCACCATTGGGATGTTTCCCGCTGTGACTGTTGAGGTCAAGTCCAGCATCGCGGGCACCAGCGCCTGGGGTGAGGATGCCACAGGTTCCCAGGATGGAGACAGACAGGATCTTGAGCCGGGCTGGGAGTAGGGGTGAGAGGGAGCCTGGGTTACCTTCTCCCTAGCTAGACTTTCCTGGGTCCATTTGCCCTTCCCTGGGCTGGAAGCATCTTCTCCATTTTACTATTGGGGAAGCTGAGGCCCAGTGAGGGTCAGGGTTGCTAGATCTGTCTCTTGGGGCTGGATAACCATCCCCTAATCTAATCTCCTCCTCTCCCAGAAAACTACTTCATTCCTGTGTCCTGCTTCTTGACTTTCAATATCTTTGACTGGCTGGGCCGGAGCCTCACCACTGTATTCATGTGGGTAAGTGGAGGAAGGGCTCACTAGGTCCCTGGGGGAGGGGAGAGTCCAGCCTGAGACCCAGAAAGTATGGTGGTAAGCGCACCATTTTTTGCCAAGTTGAGACATGACTTATGTATAGTTAGGTGTACAAGTCTTAGGTATACAATGTAATGAATATATGTATTTGCATGCACACCCAGTTCAAGATGTAGAATATTTCCAGCATTCCAGAAGGCTTCACTGTGCCCCCCTGCAGTCAGGACTCCTGTAAGAGTAACCAACCAGGCTTTGAGGTTTCTTTCGGGTCCCGAGGGGCCCCAGATGGAGCCCTGGGGGCCTGGCTGTGCCCTGGGGACCAGCCGGGGCTGAAACACTGCCTGATACCCACAGCCTGGGAAGGACAGCCGTTGGCTGCCAGGCCTGGTGCTGGCCCGGGTGGTGTTCGTGCCCCTGCTGCTGCTGTGCAACGTCCAGCCCCGCCACTACCTCGCTGTGGTCTTTGAGCACGACGCCTGGTTCATCTTTTTCATGGCCGCCTTTGCCTTCTCCAATGGCTACCTCGCCAGCCTCTGCATGTGCTTTGGGCCCAAGTGAGTGGGGCTGGGCTGGGGAACTTGGTGGCATCGGGCAGGTTCTAGAGCTCTCTCTAGTGGGGGACTCATTTGAAGGAGAGGGCAAAAGGAAAGTCCCTGATTCTGGAGCTGGAGAGGGGCCCCTCGGCTGAGGGCAGGGGTAGGTAGTGGAGGAGTGGGTGCCCAAGCTTACCGAGGTGGAGATGTGGGAGGGGGGGCTCTCAGGGGAGGTTGAAAGACGGCCCCCAGTACATGCTCCCCCAGGAGGGAAAAGCCAGGCTGGGGTAGGAAGGTGGGATGGGTTGGTCAGCAGAATAGGTACTCAGGCACACTTCCCCACTCTGGGCTGTGGGGCAGGGGCCATCCTAAGCTAGCTCTGCCCTTCCTCTTTTAGGAAAGTGAAGCCAGCTGAGGCAGAGACAGCAGGAACTATCATGGCCTTCTTTCTCTGTTTGGGCCTGGCGCTGGGGGCTGTCGTCTCCTTCTTGTTCCGGAAGATTGTGTGACCAGGGATGGACAGAAGGACTGCACTGCCTGCCTGCCTCCTCCCCCTTCTTTCTCCTGCCGCGCATGGGCAGGGGTGGTCTGGAGGTTTTCTTTCTCATGGCCTGTGCTGGGCCTGGATGTCCAGGCCCTGGAGAGGCAGCCTCTGCGGATGGACAGTGGGGACATTGTAGGCTCGAGGGTCAGAGTCAAGGGAGGGGCACAGTGCATCTGCTTGGGTTTCTCCACACTTGGCTCTGATCCCTGCTTGAGCGGGGCAGCAGAGGTTCTTGGGCTGAGAGAGACAGAGAGAGTGAGTGAGTGAGTGTGTGTGTGTGTGTGTGTGTGTCTGTCTGTCTGTCTGTCTGCTGCTTGTACCAGGGGTGACTAGGGGTCAGGACTGACCGTTGTGTGGTCTGATCTGGTGTTTCCCCTCTCCCCTTTCTCCCCACGTGCCTCCTTCCCCCACCCCCTCCCTACCCCCGTTCTCTTCATGTGCCCCTCCCAGCTCCCCCTGCCCAGTTCCTACCCATCATGCACCCTGTACAGTTGCTATTTTACTGCCTTTTTTTTATATTTGACAGAAACCAGGTGCCTTCAGAGGCTCTCTAATTAAATGCTTTTTTTTTTCTCCACGGCTCCCCGTGTCCTCTAGCCATAGTTTCATGCCCCAGAGAGGGCAGAGGGCTTGGCAGCCTGAGTCTGGGGGCATGAGCATGACCCAGCTGGGCCTTGGCCAGACCCGGGCCTGGGCTGAGGGCAGGTTGGGGCCTGGGAGGCCTCTTGACCTCAGAGGGGCTGCAGTGCCCCCTGCTGGGGCCACAGGGGAGGGGCAGGCCTGGAACCAGGACGTGGGGACTGTTGGCCCAGACTGGGAAAGGCCAAGTTTTTCTTTGCTGCTTCATTCCTTCTTTCACAGGAGTGGGGATGGAGACAGCTCCCTGTTTTTCCTTTGTCTTCACTGCCAGCCCCTCCACTCTGTCCTCAGCTCAGGAGTGAGCGCTGCAGAACTGGCCAGCGCCTGGCCGTACTCCCACACCACTGGGCAGGAAGGGACTGAGCCTGAGGGTTCTCCCCTACCTGGCACTCTGCCCTGACACCAAAGCTCAGCTTGCCAGACTTCCCGGGGAACAAGGGGCCTATGTGTCCTCATGGTGGAGTCAGACCTTCCCCTTTTCAACCCCAAACTCTGACTTAGGGAGGGTGCAGGTCATGTGGGACTATGGGAGTTTCTCAGTGGGGGGTCCCTACATTGGGACCCACTTCTCAGCATGCCTTCCTGACTGGAGGTGGGAGCAGAGTTCTGCCCCTCCTCCCAGGGGAAGACTCCTCTCAGCCAGGCAGAAGGCTCAGCAGGGGCTGCTCACTGATCCCTGACCGGCAGAGTGCTACTGAGTCGGCACCTTCATCAGGGCTTCCTTTCTCACAGGAGTTCAACTTAATTGAGGGCTTCAGGCCTCATTAAGGGCTGTTAGCACATGTTTAAGGCTCTTTGATGAGCTCTGAGCTAAGTATACCATTGTGCTGGGAACAAGTCCATGTGCTAATTTGTCAGACCAGAGTGTGTATCTGAGGTGGTAGAAAACAAGGTATTCCTTTCCTATCAGGTTCTGTTCCCTGAGGACCCTCCCTCCAGTTAGCAGTGCCCTTTGGCAGTGAATCAAGCTGAAAACACAGCCTGAGGGCTCTTTCTCCTCCTCTGGCCCACAGTCCTCCCTGAGGTCCACATTGTACCCAAACCCTGAGAGCCCTATTGGTGTCCTTCCTCAGCGCCAGATGCCCCTCAGGGATCCTGTATTTCTTCCTCAGGTCCCTACCACTTCCTGCCTGGCCTTTTAGGACTTCTTCCCAGGTCTTCCAATCTGTCACATACATGGGCACCAGAATAATCTGAAAACAAATTTAGAGAGATGCTGGTCCCTGTCCCTGAAGCATGCGTCTGTCTCTCTAAGCATTTCCCCATCCTACACCAGCCAGTTTGTACATTTCTTCTCTGCCCCTCAGAGCTTTCATAACATTGTGACTTATCTTTTTTTTTTAGAGACAGGGTCTCACTCTGTTGCCCAGTCTGGAGTACAGTGGTGTGATCAAAGCTCACTGCAGCCTTGAACTCCTGGGCTCAGGCGATCCTCCTACTTCAGCCTCCCAAGTAGCTCGGATTACAGGTGAACGCCACCATGCTCGACTACTTTTTTGTAGAGATGGGGTCTCACTATGTTGCCCAGGCTAGTTTCAAACTGCTGGCCTTTAAGTGATCCTCCTTCCTCAGTTTCCCAAAGTGCTGGGATTACAGGTGTGAACCATCATGCCCAGCCCATATTCTTATCTTACTCCAGCTATCAGACTGTCATGATTTTGAGGTTAGGGTCTATTTTTTATGCACTTTTTGCCTTTTCAAGCTATGTTATAGCTGGCTCCCAGATGTACTCAGAAAATGTTTGCTTTACTGCATCTGTTTGTCCCAGGGTGGAACTCATCCCTCCTCACAGTCTTCACATGCCTGACTCCAGTGGGGTGGTGGCACTCATTACCTGTGCCCATGGGAGAGAGATGAGAGGTTAAGTAGGTTCCTCTCAAACCCAGCACTGATTTGAAGGAGGAAAAAAAAATTTATGCTACAGTCACTTTCTCCGTTTCTGCACTTAAATTAATGTCAAAGAAAATTACTAGAATATTTTTCGCCTCAAATGGCAAATGCCCCCAAAATTGGTCTCCTTACTTCATTTCCATTCTCCTGACCTCTGTTTTCACCTATAAACTTGAGAGGTGGGTAGGAAAAGCCCCTCCCAGGCCTGCCTAACTGCAGTGGTGGCTCTCAACCACAAGTGGGCGCTCTCTGAGCAACACCACCTTTGGGGGCAGCGGCCTCACCTATAGGACCTCCCCACTTGCCTCCTAGCACTTTGCTTCCTATAAGGTAGGGAGGTCTGAGCATGAGAATCTGCCAGGTATTCCTGACTGCTTTGACTTGCCGATGGTCATCACCTCCTTTCCCTGTGACATTTCTGCTCAAAATAGCTGCTGTCCCTAAGGTGGCTGCCATTGCAATGCAGGAATATCTGTGTTGTTCAATCTTTTATGGTGAAATGTTGGGGCTTAAACACTCTTAAAAAGCTAAGAGTCCCAGTAAAATCAGCAGCTTTCGTGGAAAATAGAAATGAAAGCTCAGGTGTAATCTAGGAATTGGAATAAATTGTTCTGAGTTTAAACTATGATAATTCAAAATGGATGTAAGCAGAGAAATGCAGAATCATTTTAAAGAAATAGCCCTATCCTCTGGCCAGCAGGCCCAGCCTGAAACCTGAGTCTTTACACACACACACACACACACACAGAGGAAGTGGAAGAGTGGCTGTCTGCAGGGATGTCAGCCAGCAGATCTGCCTTGAGACCAGGTTGTCAGTGTCCACCCACACCCTGAGGCTCATCTGGTTCCTGGGACAAGTTGGCAGAGTGTGGAGATGGGCAGATCCCCCCAACCTGCAACTCATCAATGGCCTTCTGTCCTAGCTGGGCTCCTCCAGCCAATCTCAGTATGATCTGGCTTCCTGGTAGGTGCTGGGCGCTGGGAATGTGCTCCCTCAGGCCCTGCCCTGGCAGGCCTAGTGCTCCCTGGAAACAAGCAGGTTGACAGTCTGGTTCCAGACTGCAAGATGAGTGCTAAGTGTGAGTCAGCAGGACCCCCACTAAGGCCTCTGCCCTCTCCCAGACCTTTTGGTGGGGAAGAGACAACCAGTTTGGATTCAGAGTCGTGTATTCCATCTTGGGCCTCCATATACCAGCTATGTGACCCTGGACAAGTCATTCACCCTTTGTGGCCTCAACTCCTCTTCCTTAATACAGGAGGACAATATATGTATAGACTTGAAATTTAGGGCGTCAGTCAGTGTGGGAGAGCCTGGATTGGGGAATCACGTGGCATTCCTAGGACGAGCCTCAGCATGGTGGCATCCCCCCTTAACCTGGGCGATTCGTTGCCCCTTCCCGCCCTTGTTTATTCGCCTCTCCCACTCCTCCAGACCCTGGAAGCTTCGAGAATCAAGTTTCAGTTCTCCCATCCCAGCTATTTCCACTGCGGGTCCCTGCCCCCCCCCCCCGGGGACAGCCGAGAACCGCGAGAACGCGGCGCTGCAAGCCCTGGCGGATGGAGCCCGGGAGGAGCCGAGCCCCCGCCCCGCCCCGCGGCGAGGAGGGGAGGATGACGTCACCCGGCTCGCGCGCCCCCTGGCGGAAGCACCGCCCCACTCCGCATCGCAGCCGTGGTGGGTGGGGGCCCAGACTGCGCGTCAGACCAAGTCCACCGCTCCCTGTGTCCCAGTGACCTTGAACAAGGCACTCAGCCTCAAGGTCGCTCCTCTGTAAAGCAAGGACAGTAACATTGGTCCTGCCCCCCGCGCGGGTCTTGAATCTCCGCTCTATGTTCACTGTCTTACCTATATGGTCTCATCCGGGTCCCAGTAACCCTCTAAAGTGCTGACTTGCTATGCTCATTTGACTCCAGAAAACTGAGGCTGAAAGGCTAAATGGTGGAAAAATATTCTGTAACCTGCAAAGTACCAGGTAAATATAAAGCAATCTCTCTCTCTCTCTCTCTCTCTCTCTCTCACACACACACACACACACACACACACTCACACAGAGTTACCAAGCAGTGAAGGGGACAGAAAGTTACAGGCATCATGTAGCACCATAAGGCAAGGTGGTCGTCCTTCCTCCCTGGTCACTGAAACATTCCTCTGACTGTCATCTCCTCTTTTCACATCTCCAGGGGGCCTAAGCCTCCCAGGATACTGAACTCTCATCCCATCCTGCCCAGGTGAAACCAGCGAAGCCCTTCCTGGGGTCTAACCCCGGCTCCTCCTGTGTGATTTCCTCACCACCCAGCAGCCCTGTCACAGCCCTACCAATCTGGGTGGGGGTGGGCCAGGCAGGCACTGGGCCCAGTACATGGCCCAGAAATCCAGCCAGTTGGGACCTGCACACTGAAAAACAGTGACTTGTGCCTGAGACAGGACAGGTGGCAGGCAAAACAGTTAAGTAGGTCAGGGTTGTTTGTGGTGCCACCTGCCCTTGTACTTCCTCCGACTATGATCTGCTCTGGGCTGAATCGATTTGGGGTTAAGTTTTACCCTCTTAGTCAAAGGGGACCTTGAACACTGAACTATGCCCAAGACAAAAAGGGATGCCTGGTGGGTGTGATGATGGGATGAAGATAGACATTTTGGACTGGGCTGACAATAGCAGGCAGGCAGGACTCAGTCACCCCACTTAGGCCAGTGGTATGAAAAGCAAGACAGTCATTTGTGTATTAATAGAGTAGGTTACTAAAGATGCCCAATTTATAATTCAAGAATGGTTTAGGACAGGCGAGGTGGCTCACGCCTGTAATCCTACCACTCTGGGAGGCCGAGGTGGATTGTTTGAGCTCAGGAGTTTGAGACCAGCCTGAGCAAGAGTGAGACCCCATCTCTACTAAAAAAACAAAAGTAATTAGCTGGACAACTTAAAATATATAGAAAAAATTAGCTGGGCATGGTGGCACATGCCTGTAGTCCCAGCTACTTGGGAGGCTGAGGCAGAAGGATCTCCTGAGCCCAAGAGTTTGAGGTTGCTGTGAGCTAGGCTGAAGCCATGGCATTCTAGCCCAGGCAACAGAGACTGTGTCAAAAAAAAAAAAAAAAAAAAAGAGTAAATATCATTTTTTAATGGTAAAGTGTTACAAGCTTTCTTTTCGGATCAGGAATGAGGTAAGGATGCCCAGAATCAGTTTCCACTCATCATTGTTCTGCAGGTCCTAGCTGGTATAGTAAAACACGAAATAAAAATACAATAAAAGATACAAAAATTAGAAAAAGGAGAAACCAAACTGTCATTGTTCAGATGATGTGCTTGTACCTAGAAAACACCAAAAAAATTGACAGAAAAATTAAGATTAATAAGGTAGTTTACCAAGTTGCTAGATCAATAAGCAAATATCAGTTGCTTTTCTAACTCTCTGGAAAACAGAAAATGAAAAAACACTTCCATTTGCCATGGCATCAAAAAATAGGCTGGGTGCAGTGGCTCATACCTGTAATCCTAGCACTTTGAGAGGCCGAGGTGGGAGGATTGCTTAAGGTCAGGAGTTCAAGACTAGCCTGAGCAAGAGACCTCATCTTTAAACAAAATGGAAAAACTAGCCGGGAGTGGTGGTACGTGCCTGTAGTCCCAGCTACTACTCAGGAGGCTGAGGTGGGAGGATTGTTTAAACCCAGGAGTTTGAGGTTGCAGTTTGCTATGATGCCACTGCACTCCATCCTGGGCAACAGAGTAAGACCCTGTCTCAAAAACAAACAAATAAATAAACTAACAATAAAGTGAGCAGTTTGTCAACAGAAAAACTCTGTAAAATAATTAGAGAGATTTAAATTTAAAGAGATTTACTCTGAGCCAAATTTGAGGACCATGACCTGGAGCCACTCCCAAGAAGCCTTGAGCAAATGGATTGGCTGTGGCTGGGTTACAGTTTGGTTTTATACATTTCAAGGAGACAGGGGACAGGTAACGTCATCAATCAATATGTGGGAGGCATACATTGGTTTGGCCCTAAAAGGTGTGGGCCATCTTGAAGCGGGCGGGGGCTGGGGGGAGGCCTTACAGGTTATAGGTGGGTTTAAAAATTCTTTGACTGGGCTGGGCGTGGTGGCTCACGCCTGTAATCCTAGCTCTCTGGGAGGCCGAGGCAGGCAGATTGCTCAAGGTCAGGAGTTCAAAACCAGCCTGAGCAAGAGCGAGACCCGTCTCTACTATAAATAGAAAGAAATTAATTGGCCAACTGATATGTATATAAAAAATTAGCCGGGCATGGTGGCGCATGCCTGTAGTCCCAGCTACTCGGGAGGCTGAGGCAGAAGGATCGCTCGAGCCCAGGAGTTTGAGGTTGCTGTGAGCTAGCCTGACGCCACGGCACTCACTCTAGCCTGGACAACAAAGCGAGACTCTGTCTCAAAAAAAAAAAAAAAAAAAAAAAAAAAATTCTTTGACTGTTTGACTTATAATTGGTTAAAGACCTGAAGCTTTGTCTAGAGGCTTGGAATATTTTTTATTATAGTTCACAAGTTGTATATGACTTATCTTGTGTCCCAGCGGAATATGAAAACACAGGCAAAGAGATGGAGTCCATGCTGGCTGCGCAGACCTGCCCAACTGTCCAGTGTGTCTGAAAGTGAGGCCCCTTGGCACAGGAGGGCGTCAGTTAAGGGTATTCCCTGTGGAATTCAGAGATCTAAGCCTCAAGGAACTGGGAAGGTCCAGAAAGTGACAGGACACACCTGGCAGGCACTGAGCTTGGGAGAGGCTGCTTGTTCTGGTCTACAGCTATTCCACATGCTCATAACATCCCCAATGTCCAGTTGTTTTATTTATCCATTGGGCCTTTTCTAACTCCCCTCAGCCGCTCCCCTCCATGAACCCCTTCAAAGGGCTCTGCCCAGACTGAGTCTCTGAGCTCCCTGCAACACTTCACTTAGCTTTATCTAGCTCAGGGGTCTGCAAACCTTTTCTGTAAAAGGTAGAAGAGTGAATATTTTAGAGCTTGCAAGCTATATGGTTTCTGTCACAATCATTAACTCTGCCGTGGTATATGACAGAGAAGCAGCCAAAGACAAGATGTAAACAAACAACTATGAGTGATTTCAACAAAACTCCATGCACATTGAAATTCAAATTTCATATAATTTTCACATGTAAAAATAGTATCTTTATCTTGATATTTTTCCCAACTATTATTAATAAAAAGTGTAAAAACCATTCCTAGACCACAGGCCATTTGAAAACGAGCCACAGGCGCACCAGCTGTAGGCCCAGGTTTGTTAATCCCTGCTTCGGCGGGCTACCCTCCAATGCCAGAGGTGGGGCTGGGCCTATGAGGCCTCATCAGTAACAAACGGTATCCTGGGAATACCAGTGGTTGCAAGTGCCGCTGAAAATAAGGATCCTGAAGACTTAGGTTCTAAGCCTGTCTCTGATAACCTTCGTGGCTTCCCTACCCCTTAATGTCAGAACTTAACTAACATGGCATTTGCAGCCCTCTGTGACCTAACCCCTGTCCTCAGGCCCACTTTCAACTCCTGGCGCCATCCTCTGGGGTTCCTAAGCCATGGTCCCTCTTTCGAGCGAGGCTTTGTGCCTTCCATGCTTTTCCCTTTCCTGGGAGTAGTTTTGTGCCAGCCAGAAGGCAAGCAAAGGGGCAGAGTCAGGCCAGACATCGTTGTCTGCAGCTCGCTGGCCAGAAGCATGGCCTAGGAGCTTGGCGCCAGGGCCGAAGGAGAACAACCTCGTTCTAGCGGCCTAGAGGAAGTCGCACATCCGCCACCGTCTGCATGCGCCGTGACAGCTCCTGCCACCCTGCAGCGGTTCCTGGAGACCCTCTCTCTCCAAGACCAAGCAGCTGCAGGAGGGGCGAGCGCAGGAGAACCAGCTTAAGAAACAGCTTGAACAGCGGTCTAAGGAGGGCGCATGTCCCTGTGCTTTGTATACAGGGACTGTACCTCTGGTAGCGTCCCTGTCCCCGCCCTGTTTGCAGGAGGCGCCAGCAGAGCCGCCCCAGCCGCCCGTGTGTCGTGTGATTGATGGGGGAAAGGAGAGGCCAGCCTATTCCTCCCTCTACGCTTCATGTCATCCCCAAAGCAGTGCGGGGCACGCAGGTCCCGCCCGCGGCCGCTCACAGTAAACGGGAGGAGGCAGCCTCCACCCAGCTTCGCCTTGGACCCGGGCGACACCCGCGCTGGCCGAAGCAGCCATAAAGATACTCCCCAGGCGGCACCTGGAGAGGCGGAGCCGGGAGAGGAGGAGGAGGAGGGCGAGGGCGGGACCGCCGAGATAGTCCTGGAAACTGCTGGAAGTATCGCAGTACCGCCGCCTGCGCTCCTTCCGCCGCAGGCCGGCAAAGAGTTCTCCGGCTGCGGAGGCCGGCGCCCCTCCCCGCAGGTGGAGCCGCGGCCTGCGGCGAACCGCCCACTCTTTCCGTGCTCCCGTGAGTCGGCATCTGCGGCCGCCCAGAGTTGGGTCCCCAGTGCTGCACCGTCCCCCGCCGGGACGCGAGATGTGTGGTACAGACTCCAGGGAGAAGATCGGGCCTCGGGTCCCGATGCCTAGCCGCCCCCGCTCTTTTTGGGTGTCCCCGGAGCCCCGGTCTCTTGGGTGTGGGGGCGCCTGCCTCTTAAGCTTTCGGGGAGGTTAGTGGGCGTCCTCGTCCTAAGATCCACCGCTTATGCCCCGTGAGCACTCCCAATCCCTAGTCCTGGTGGGGTCATGGCCTGGACGTGCAGATAGGGGGCTGTGAACACAAGCAAACGTTATGGGAAAGAACCTCTAACGGGTCTTGCTGCAAAGCCAGGCCTCACGCTTGCGCTCCTCCCCGCCCTCGCCCCTATTTCGGACCATGACGTCAGGGGGCGGGCCGCAGGCGGTGCAAGGTTGACGGGCATCCTCCTTTAAGGCGGAGGGATCCGGCGGAGTGCGGCTGTGTGGTGCTCCGCCTTATATAGGGCAACTGGGCGCGCACGGTAGCTCTCTTGAGTCACCCCCGCGTAGCCTTGGAGCGGCGTGCGAGGCGGCCGGCCCCGACCCACCTTGGTCTCTCTGGTACTTGCAGACCTTTTCTTCCAAGGTAAGGCCGCGGGCTTCTCTTCCTCGCTCCTCTCCCTCGAGTGCGCTTTCGTGATGCTCTCGTCCTTTTTGTCCTTTCGAAGGCGCAGATGCCGCGTTAGGGCGGCCTAGTGGGGTAACCCTGCTAATTTTCCTCGGGGATGGTGGGGGTGGCAGGTGAGGGCTCTTGAGCCTTTTTTCTTCTCCAGCGTGCCCGGGCGGCGGGATTTCCGCCGGGCGGCGACCAGCCCTGGGGAGGTGGGCGGCGGAGCGGGCTGGGGCAGTGGGCAGCTGCACGTGGTGGCCGCGCCCGCTCGGGACGCTGCCATATTTGTCCCTCCACTTCCGGACGCAGTACGGGGCGCCGGAGGGTCCGCAGGGTGGTGGCGGGGGGTGCACGCTTGAGTGACTCAGCACAGCCCAGCGGGACCCACCTTTCTGACTGGTCGCGTTCTTACAAGCGTTTTTGGTCACTTTCTTTCTACGGAGGTCCATGGCGAGGGAGGACCGTTTTCGTTCCCAAGGGCCCTAGTGCTGCTTCTTTCCAGATCTTTCCTGCTGTCACAGTGGAGGAGGAGGGGCGGGGAGGAGGCAGGTTCTGGGAGATTCATGCGCTCCCTCCCCCGCCTCTCGCTGGGAACTGCGATTGTTCTGGAAGCTTCTGGATCCTGGCGCCCCGCCCCAAGTGCCCGGATGCTGGGGCGGACGGAGGGTGCGCGGCGACGCCCCCTCCTCGTGTGGCCTCGGCTGGCGCATGTCCGGCAGTGACGAGGGTCGGCCCAGCGGCCGTGGCCACCATCTTACTCGTGTTGGGTTTAGTGCTATTACTGTAGTTGTCTACGCAGTGAGGAGTTTCGGTGGAGCTCTTGCCTCATCGATTCTTTGTCCTGATCTAGTGACCTTTGGGCGGCATACCGCATGGATCTGGGGCTTTATTTTTCCTTGCCTTGTGGGATAGCAATCCTGCACATTCACTGGATTTAGGAGATCCTTAAGGAGGAGTAGTTTAAAACACTGCCGTTTTTCTGTCACACTGGTTATTTTATACTCCCCCCAAATTAAAAAACTTGTAGTTAGTGATGTTTATAAGTAAAAGTGTGTAGGGATTACTTAGTATTCTTAAACCTGGATACTTGAGTTGGGGCCAGCACTCTGAGTTTCTAGTGAGTTAGCGGGTGATGTTGAAGCTGTTAGTCACCACTCTTTAAGTACCTGGGCTCCAGGGTACCTTCCAAAAAATTTAGCTTAACCGAGGATTGAAGAGTGTTTTAATTTTTTTCTCCGTCTGAATTGGCTTCACACTTAAGGTGTGGCCTGAGGTCTTTGAAGAAAATGCTCTTTCAGTCTCTTGGGAAGGGGTGGTGTTCACCGTAAAGCAATTTGAATCCTGAATCCTTTTAATCTTTGGATTAAAACAAAGATGAACCTTGGGATTCTGAAGTATGGGGCCATCGTGTTCTTTTGTAATTGTTCACCATTTTAATTTTAGATGCCTGAGGAAGTGCACCATGGAGAGGAGGAGGTGGAGACTTTTGCCTTTCAGGCAGAAATTGCCCAGCTCATGTCTCTCATCATTAACACCTTCTATTCGAACAAGGAGATTTTCCTTCGGGAATTGATCTCTAATGCTTCTGATGTGAGTACTCCGGTTTTGTCCCTTGTTGTATTTATTTTTGAGTGATCTAGAAGGGCAAGGAGTGGTTTGATGCTCAGTGGGGGCTCCTGTTGAAGGGAATAAACTAGCAGCTATTCTGGAAAGATACACCTTACTCTCTGTGGCCATCTTGAGCTTGAAAGGGAAAGACCTGGACTAGGTTCAGGACAAATCGAGTAACTGTAGTTCTTCAGCTTCAAGTTAAGGGCAGTCAGTATTAGGCCTATTTGAGTAATACCAAAGATTTCCTTTGGGAGAAGAGATGGGCTTTGAGGGAGCAAAAATAACTTACTGTTTGTATTATTTTCAGGCCTTGGACAAAATTCGTTATGAGAGCCTGACAGACCCTTCCAAGTTGGACAGCGGTAAAGAGTTGAAAATTGACATCATCCCCAACCCTCAGGAACGCACTCTGACATTGGTGGACACAGGCATTGGCATGACCAAGGCTGATCTCATAAATAATTTGGGAACCATTGCCAAGTCTGGTACTAAAGCATTTATGGAGGCTCTGCAGGTATGTGGCAGTTTTGCTACACACATGATTCACATTTATCGATGTTTTTTGGCTTGTTCCTGCTTCAAAACTTGTGCTTGACTTTTTAAAAAAACTTGTTGGTAGGCTGGTGCAGATATCTCCATGATTGGGCAGTTTGGCGTCGGCTTTTATTCTGCCTACCTGGTGGCTGAGAAAGTGGTTGTGATCACAAAGCACAACGATGATGAACAGTATGCCTGGGAATCTTCTGCTGGGGGTTCCTTCACTGTACGTGCTGACCATGGTGAGTTGGCTTTAGGTGTTTATAAGATCACTGATTGAGAATTTTCTGGAAGAACCAATGGTAGAAATTATGAACATCCTATCTTATCTGTAAGGTAGTTTTGTTTTTATTTTCGTTTATTTATACTCTGTTATGATCGATTCTTTTTAGGTGAGCCCATTGGCAGGGGTACCAAAGTGATCCTCCACCTTAAAGAAGACCAGACAGAGTACTTAGAGGAGAGGCGGGTCAAAGAAGTAGTGAAGAAGCACTCACAGTTCATAGGCTATCCCATCACCCTTTATGTGAGTATGGACTTTATAACCCTTTTTGTTTTACATGCAGGATATCTCCTGCTCTGGAAACTCTCATGATCTCAGGCTTTTGCTTTCCCTGGTAATTTGTATCCCCAAACTGTTTTTGGTAATTTAGTTGGAGAAGGAACGAGAGAAGGAAATCAGTGATGATGAAGCAGAAGAGGAGAAAGGTGAAAAAGAAGAGGAAGATAAAGATGATGAAGAGAAGCCCAAGATTGAAGATGTGGGCTCAGATGAGGAGGATGATGGCAGTAAGGATAAGAAAAAGAAAACTAAGAAGATTAAGGAGAAATACATTGATCAGGAAGAGCTAAACAAGACCAAGCCCATTTGGACCAGAAACCCTGACGACATCACCCAGGAGGAGTATGGAGAATTTTACAAGAGCCTCACTAATGACTGGGAAGACCACTTAGCAGTCAAGCACTTCTCTGTAGAAGGTCAGTTGGAATTCAGGGCATTGCTGTTCATCCCTCGTCGGGCACCCTTTGACCTCTTTGAGAACAAGAAGAAAAAGAACAACATCAAACTCTACGTCCGTCGTGTATTCATCATGGACAGCTGTGATGAGTTGATACCAGAGTATCTCAGTGAGTATCTCCTTGGCCTAATTTAGTTGGGGAAGAGTTAGGCCTTCAGCATTCTATTGGAACTAATGTCTTTGTCCTAGATAATTAACAGTTCTCTGCAACATAGTAATAGGGAATTCTGGGAGCAATAGAGCATTCTGTTCAGATCTGGGTGGCCAGGTATGGTCTGGCTGTTTTTACTAAGCTTTCTACCTTGATTGACGGCAGACTTTATCCGTGGTGTGGTTGACTCGGAGGATCTTCCTCTGAACATCTCCCGAGAAATGCTTCAGCAGAGCAAAATCTTAAAATCATTCGCAAAACATTGTTAAAAGTGCTTGAGCTCTTCTCTGAGTTGGCAGAAGACAAGGAAAACTACAAGAATTTCTATAGGCATTCTAAGAACTGAAGGTGAGGAGGCAAATGCTTATTCCATTGATTATTTCTTAATTATGAAAAAGTTTTCATACAGAGAGTTAGGTATTTCCAATTAAGATTTGTTTTCTTCCTTCCACTCTGGAATAGCTTGGAATACATGAGGACTTACTAACGGCGACGCCTGTCTGAGCTGCTGCGCTATCATACCGTCCCAATCTGGAGATGAATGACTTCTCTGTCAGAATAGTCTCTCGAATGAAGGAAACACAGAAGTCATCTATATATCACTGGTGCGTTGGAGCCTTGGTCTGATCAAAGCCATGTCTGGGTGGGGCATGTTCAGGGTCTGGGAACTGGCAATATGAGGCATTTTGGTCCCTCTGAGTTGCATTTAATAATCTCACAGGCGAGAGCAAAGAGAGTGCCAATTCTGCTTTGTGGAGCGAGTGGCGGAACGGGGCTTTGAGTGGTATATAATGACTGGACCCATTGATGATACTGCGGCAGCAGCTCAGGAGTTTGATGGGAAGAGCCTGGTCTCAGTTACCAAGGAGGGCCTGGAGCTACCTGAAGATGAGAGAGAAGAAGAAGATGGAGGAGAGCAAGGCAAAGTTTGAGAACCTCTGCAAGCTCATGAAAGATCTTGATAAGAAGGTTGAGAAGGTTAAGTAGCCGGACTAGGATATATTTTGAATACTCGAGGGCACCCTCCCTCAGAATCCCATGTGCTACTACACAATAGTGGTTAGGCATCCTATTCTGTTACGCCTGCTAGCCAGGTTTATGGTTTATTCTATAAAAATTAGCAAGATATAGGTATGCTAGCTACCTTTTTTTTTTAAACATTAGCAGAGATCAGCTACCCTTTTCTTTGAGACAGCATCTGGTCTGTCAGGCTAGAGTGCAGTGGCATTATAATACTCACTGCAGTCCTCAAACTCCTGGATTTAAGCAATCCTTTTGTCTCAGCCTCTTGATTAATTGGGACTCCATAGTGGGAGTCACCATGTCAGCTAAGTTTACATTTTTTTGTGGAGATGAGGTCTTGCTATGTTGCCCAGGCTAGTCTTAAATTACCAGGCTGAGGGTTCTTCCACTTTGACCTTCCAAAGTGTTGGGATTATAGTTGTGAGCCTCTGTACCATGCCTGCTTTTAGGTACTTAACAGAGTAGGAACTAAATACCCATCGTTTTACATTAAAATGTAACTGATCAGTGCAATCCCATGTCTTTTGATGTCATAGGTGACAATCTCCAATAGGCTTGTGTCTTCACCCTGCTGCATTGTGACCAGTACCTACGGCTGGACAGCCAACATGGAGCGGATCATGAAAGCCCAGGCGCTTCGGGACAACTCTACAATGGGCTACATGATGGCCAAAAAACACCTGGAGATAAACCCCGACCACCCCATTGTGGAAACACTTCGACAGAAGGCTGAGGCAGACAAAAACGACAAGGCTGTCAAGGACCTGGTGGTGCTGCTATTTGAAACCGCGCTGCTCTCCTCTGGCTTCTCCCTTGAGGATCCACAGACCCACTCCAACCGCATCTACCGCATGATCAAGCTAGGCCTAGGTAAGTAGCCTTGATACTTGTTATTAGTGTGACAAGGAGTTGTGGGACTGGTGTCCAGGACAGATTTGACTTAATGACGTTGGGTCAAGTCTCACATGGCTCTCTTTCCTTTAGGCATTGATGAAGATGAAGTGACGGCAGAGGAACCCAGTGCTGCTGTTCCCGATGAGATCCCACCCCTTGAGGGTGATGAAGATGCATCTCGCATGGAAGAAGTAGATTAGGAGTTTATACTTGGAAACCTTGTGCCCTCTGTATAGTGTCCCTTTGGTCCCCACAGCCTGGAGTGGCCCTGTCCCACTTGGCGTCCTCTGGTGATGTCTAGTTTTTTCTTTTCTCTCCTGTCCTTGTGTCTAAGGCAGGAAATAAGGCCCTCAAAGCCCCATTCCCTTCCTAATTTGACAAGGGGATTGAACGTTGTGCATTGTGTTTTTGTTTATTTTGTTCTGAGATTAAAGTATGCGGAATAAAGAAAATGCAGTTTTATACAGTCATGCTCTCCCTTGTAAAGTGGATATGATGCTAGCTTCTAAATCCCTCAGCTTTTACCTTGCAAGTTGTTTTTTCTGGGTTATTTATGTATGTTGTACTAAGGGTCATCAGTAATGTAGCTTAGAATTCACCCTGAAGCAAAAAGTAGTTTAGAACTACCATGTATGCCCCGAGTCAACCGAAACACAGCAAGTCTGTTGCAGCAATTTAATTTAATAAAATAAAATTATAAGAGCAAAAAGTTACATTTCTGAAGTACCAAAACCTTGAGCAGAGCCTAGGGATCCAGGAACACCAGGTGGTGTTGCTGGGCTCTCTATTCCCCCTTCCTCAGCACAGCACCATCTTTTACCCTACTGGGAAAGCATTTGGAGCCTACACCATTTGTGCTTTTCTCACTGGAGTAAGAAATACAGGTATCTGTGGAGGAGGGGGAGTCTTGAAAGGTGGTAGAGCCAACAGCCAGGGCAAGACTTCCGGGGAACATGAGGAGGGAGGAGCTGTGCAAGGTACCTCTGCCCCCTGGAGCCTTTACCCCCCAACCCCCTATACTGAGGACTGTCTACCCTGGGGCTTGGAAGAACCTGCCTAGGGGAGGATGGGTGACTATTAAGGCAAATGGGAGAGCTGCCTCCTGGGCTCTCCACCTCCAGCTGAAGAGCTGGTTTGATACTGAGAAAACACCTGCATTTTGCCCTAGAACCAGGGCCTCTGATGAGTAACAGTAGAAGAGGAATTACCAGCATGGTAAGAGGGTCCTATTTTACTTCATCCCTTTGGGACCCCCCACCCCACTCACACCTTCTGTACAGGGGACTCAACAGGCACAGCTTTCTTCCCCCGTTGCTTCAGACGGCCCCGGGCGTAAACTCGGAGCAGGAGGGCAGCAAAGACCACAGCTACCCCCATTCCTCCAACCACAGTGACGGTGTGGCCATAGAGGAGGCAGGAAAGAAGGATGGCAAAGGCCTGGCGGAGGGTCATGATGATGGTGAAGACAGCGGCCCCAAACTGCCCAATGGTGTAGAAGATGAAGAGCTGACCACATGCGGAACAGACTGAGAGAAGCAAGGCATGGGCAGCAAACTCACTGTGTCGTCCCATGAAGCGGGTCCCCTCCAGCAGGGCCCCCTGCTCTAGCAGTGAGCCTATTGTGAAAAGGCAGGAGAAGAAATTGACCCCAAACATCATTTGCACTGATGACATCTTATAGGCAAACAGGGCATCCTGCCAGTTTGAGGTGAAGCTGTCAAAAGCAATGTAGCCTGCGAGTAATATGAGGCCTGAGAGTGTGGTGGCCGGGGAGCTGCGTGGCTCTGGTCCGCTGGACAGCAGAAACATGCTGACCCCAATAGAGATGAGGCCAGCTGTCAGATATTCCCAGTGTTCATAGCTGCGTCGAGACACCAGCTTTCCCATCAGCATGACAGGGATCACCTTAGAGGCCTTGGCCAGCACCTGGGTGGGGAAGCTGACAAACTTGAGAGCTTCATATTGGCACCAGCTGCTAAGCACATTTGACAGGCTGGCAAACGAGTACCGGTACATGGGTGCCCCATGCCGGGGCTGCTTGCAGAGGATGCAGGAGAAGCCAGCCACAATCAGTGCCAGCACTCGGTTCATTAGCACCAGGAACTGTGAGTCTGTGAAGCGCTCACCCTGCGATGTGGCTGTGGCCCCATAACTGCGGGTCATCACTCTCTCCTGTAGCACACCCCAAGTCAGGTAAGACACCTGGGTGGGGGAGGGTGGAGACAGAAGACAATAAGCAAGAGAGAAATAGACCTCACCCTCTTCCTCAGCATGATGTCTAAATGCCTTAAAGGACAGCATACATTTTTTGGTTCCTCTGTAGTAGTTTCCTCTCCCCTCCCCAGTGTGGATCCACCTTGTAGGGAATCAAGCCTAGGTGAAAAAATAACAAATGCTTTGGGACTGCCCAGATCTTGTCTGTCCCCACAGTATGGGTATGTTACAGCTGACTCCATCCAAAGTATTTGTGGTCAGTGTGTCAGCACCCCTCTCGCATGCAGTACTGGGAGAAGGCTGAATTCCCCCCCCCAAACTTTTATCAGTGGGCTTACAGTACACGGGACACAAAAGTGAAGGGGGGAAGTATAATAATGGCACAGTAGAAATCACAGAAAAGAGAGCAAGAGAAAGCCCTTCTTATACACTAGACATCAGGAAGTAATAGCATACAGTTAACTTTCGGTACCAGTGCTGGAGAGGGGAAAAGGAAGAAAGAAAAGACAGCATTTCCCCCGTATGATGGAAACGTTGGCTTCACAAAGTCCTTGCCCACCAGGACCCGACCCAGGAAGAGAAGCAGAACTGGCCTACCTACCTGGAGCCCCATGGCACAGAAGACCAGCTTCAGGGCCTGCCACAGGGGGGTGGTCTCTGATGTCTCTGTCCGAGGAGCCAGAGGAACCTCCTCAGAGGCCTTGGGCTCATTGCCAAACACACAGGCTTTCACCAGGGGAAAACAGAGACCCCTGCCTGAGAAGGCACACAAAGTCAAGCTCCAAATCTTCTACACAGCACCTCATCTTCCCCAGAGCAACGAGCCTGCCCTGTTGTCCCACCTACGGGCCTCCCTCCTCCCTTTCCAAGTTACATCCCGTTTGGACTGTACCCGCAATTCCGACCTAGCCCATTCCCCGGCCCTTCGTCACACACCTGTCTCCAGGTAGTTCTTCCTCCTAAAGTATTGTACCAAAAAGTAGCCAGGTACCATAAAGCTGGCATAGCCGGCCGCATTCACCAAAAACCGGAAAAACCATAGCTGGGTCCATGACTCCGGAGGGGCTTCGGGAGTCTCACCGCCTGCACCCAAGGCGGGGAGCGCAGCCAACACCACCACTGCCCACCACCTGCAGGGGCAGCGGACATAAGGATCAAGGTGCAGTTCCTCATCCCCTCAGCCCGCCAGAGGGGACCACACTGGAGAAGGGCCCAGGCTCTTCCCCGCCCCCTCCGCGGCAGCCTAGCCCGGACAAAGAGCCTCTCTCTCTCTGGGGGAAGCCGGCGTTGGCCAGGCAGGGCTTCCTCCTTCCCCGGGGGCGGACCCGCGCCTTGGGCCACACAGGTCCCCTCTGTTCCCTCCAGCGCTGGCCGGCAGCTCAGGCCAGACGCGCGCCCCCTCCCCCCGCACCGCCCTCCACGTTCCCGGAGCGCCAAGGTCCCTAGCCCCTCCGCCGGACACTCCCGAAGCCCTCCAAGGAGCACAGCCCACGCCGCGGCCCCCATCCCCGCCGGTTCCAGGCAGGGCTATTCCGGCCGACAGCCGGCAGCTGGGACCCCACCCGGCCCCCCAAGCCGAGGCAGGGCAGTCACGTGGCCCGGGGGCTCGGTCACGTGGGCTCGCTGCCCTAGCCCCCCACCTGGCGTCCATGGTCCAGGCCGCGTGGGGCGGAGGGGGGGCCGGGGAATGCGAGTCCCCGGGCCGCGCGCGCCCTCCGCTCCCGCCGCCGCCTCCGGGAGCAGCCGGTGAGCAAGCGGCTAGCGGAAGTGCCGCGCTCTTCCCGCCTCCCTCCCCGCGGCCGCCCCTCCGCCCCCCGCCGCGACCACGCAGCGCCCCGGACAGTCGCCGGGCCACAGCGCCCCCGCGCGGCCCGGAGGCAGACGCGGCCCAGTTCCGGGGAGCTGGGCTGCTCCCGCAGCAGAGAGCAAAGAGCCCCCAAGCATGGAGGGGCGCCAGTCCCGTGCGTCCCTTCTGCTTTGTCATCACCCTCGACCCTCATAGGCATCCCAGAGGTGACCATTGCCATCTTAGGGATGGGACATGAGGCTCTGTGTCCCAAGCACTTCCTTCTTGTTATAGTTTTCCTGTCTGACAGGATATGTCCCCTTCCTTTCTCAGCTGGGCCAACAATTCTGACCCCAACTCCCTGTGACTTTCGAGGCTCTGCATGGCCTGGCTAGTCTTCCTTGCCCACTCACCCACCCCCTGTAGAGGCCCTCTGGCCTCTCAGTTCCTCTAATGCACCAAAGGCCTTCCCCCAAATGCTCTGTCCCCATCGCTTACTTGTCCTTATGGTCCAGGTGAGATGACATTCCTCAGACAGGGGTCCCTGGACCACCCAAAATATGGCCCTCCACCCACTCCATTGTTCTCCTTCCCACTATTCTTTCCCTTCACAGTACCACAGCAACTTGTAATTACGTATTTATTTGGATGTTTATGACTTTACTGGCTGGCTGTCTCACTACGCTAGAAGCTCCAAGTGGTCAGTGACCGTGTTGGTTTATTCCCCCATGTTCTTCATGCCAGGATAGGTCTAACCTAGCAGGGCCCTCAAAGGTGCAGAATGGAAGGAAAAATGTAAAAAGTCACAGCTAACCTTGTGCCCAGACTCCCTAGGCTACCCTTCTCCCCGCTCCTCCAGATGGCAGCCTCCAAGGCAGTGATGAGGCGTCCAGGGCCTGCATCTTCTCATTCCTCCTCCCCTCCCTCTGTTGCACAGAAAAGGCAAGGGTCTGCGCTGGACACAGTTTCTGACCTGAGGACTATTTACTCCCCTCCCCTATGAAGTCCCTACTGGGCTCAGGGGACAATTTCCTTCTCTCTGCCTCTACCACAACGTCACAGAGCAGCCCTGTCTAAAAGTCCCCAACGCATACTGATGTGCATGTACGCAAAACAACTCTGGAAGGGAAAATCTTTTCTTTTCAAGTCTCTGTCATTTTAGTGTCATGTTACTGAGTCTCCCCCTCTCCAAAGGCTTAGTTCAGAGGCTTCTGTGTGAAGTCTTTAAACAACAGTGTTTTAGGGCCCTCAGTGGGAGTAAGATGGGACCCGTCACAGCCCTGCTTGCTCCTGTTTCAGTCTCTTGTCAGAGAGTCTGCTGGTTTTCCCATTGGTGGACAGTTTCAGGCTGACCCAACATGGGTAGAAACAAGAACCCCTGCCACATTCAAGAGAGGCAAATAGGCTTCACCCGGGGCATGTGGGGCTTTGGGGGTCTTCCAAGAATCTCCATCCACCTGGGAAGCTCTT